AAACTCATATTATAAACACACTTTTTGTAGACCTGCTTTGTAGATGTTGATACAGAATACTAATAAAAATGTGTTTCATTTACACACTAGCTGTTTGTTTACCTTGTGTGTAATCCTCATATATCTGTGTGTTGTTACAGCGATGGTTCAAGGCCAAAATTCAGAGGAAGAGATATCTGGAGCAAAGACAGAAGATCATCACCATGCAGAGAGCAGTTAAGGCTTGGTTAGGTCATCGCAATCAAGCTGCTACTGTTATCCAACGTGCCGCCAAAGGATTCCTCCTGAGACGTAGGAAAGAAAGACAGCAGCAAGGAGTCACAAAGTTGCAGGTATGTGGTGATGATGTGCCCCCACCCCCCCAACCACCTATATTGGTCTCATATGTTTAGTATGCCATTGTTATAAAGCTGTAATGATGTAACCTGATGCCCTGATAACCTGGTACCTTCTGTTTCTCAAGGCACTTTGGAGAGGTCATTGCTCAAGAAAGGTTCATGATACAAAGAAAGTCATTTCCATCAGACATCGCTTAAGGAAAGTCAACAGAGAAGCCAAGGAAGAAGACAAACTGTGTAACAAGACCGCGACTGCCTTGAGTTACTTGCTTGGATATCAAAATTATGCCTACATTCTTGCTGCTTTGAGGCATTTGGGTAATATATTAATACATTCATAATGTAAGACTGCACTTCAACCACACGTGGTTGAAAATGAGGGCACAAACTAACATACTGTGTTGTTTTGATTGAAGAAACTGCAACCAGACTTTCACCAGAGTGCTGTGAGCGTCTTGTGAAAAGTGGAGCGACACACACCATCTTCACCTTGATAAGAAGCTGCAACCGGAGTGTGCCTTCAATGGAGATCATCACCTTAGCAACCCAAGTTCTTCTCAATTTATCTAAAGTATGTGCTCGCATCTGTATGGACAGACTTTTTTTTTGTGTTTTGTTTTTTTTAAAAACCTATTTTTGTACCATTTTCACTGTGGTTCAAGTCCTTTTTGTCACTGTGCAGTGCTTTTGTTTCAGAAACATCTGTGGAATTTTGTTCATTCCAAATGCTGTTTTATTAATTAGCTGCCTGCATCGCTTTTTTCTGTAGTACAACAAAACCATAGAGGCTGTTTATGAAGTCCCGGACTCCGTGGACACACTCCTGGATCTGCTCCAGATTTACAGAGAGAAGGCTGGGGATAAGGTTGCAGACAAAGGGGGCAGCATCTTTACCAAAGCATGCTTCCTTTTGGTGATTTTGGTACAGGATCAAGAGCGGGCAGTGGTGTGTTGTCCTGAAATCTTTAGTATGCAAAGTTTTAATTTTGATACTGGCATGTCCTTAATTTTGTTTTTCTAATTTTTCAATGTTGTCTAGGGGGTGAAAAAGCTTCCCAAGGCTTCAGAACGCATTTGCAGCATCTACCGGCTTACGCTTCGAAAATACAAAATGGATGCCCAGAGAACCCAAGTAAAGCAGAGGATGAATGTCTCGCTGAATGGAAGCTTCCTTCCTCCACCCACTCCTCAGAAATCCAAGCCAGTGGCCAGGTACGTGTGTGCAGAATGATCATCTGGAGGTCTTCTGACCCACACCTGATCCATCTAATCAACAGGGGCAGGAACATGTGAACTTTAGAAATTGGTGTGTTGAGTTAGGGTTTGAACTGCAGGGTAGATCACCAGGAAGAGGGTTGGGTTTCAGTTGTGTTTTATTTATAAGAAAACAACTGAAATCATGACTGTAATCTAGAACAGACATGTCAAACTGGGGCCTTCCGGGCCAAAGTGCTGTGGAGATTTGTGTTTACTCTCATCTAATTCATCTGAATTCAGTTCATGAAGGCCTTGCCAATTAGCTGATAAGCTGAATCAGGTGTGTTTTAATAAGGCTTTGTGCTGAAGTCTGCAGTGTTTTGGCAGGTGAGGACTGGAGCTCGACACGTGTGATCTAGAGTCTATATGCCTGCGTGATGTGCATTTCAATGTATTATGGTCGTTTTCTTCATAACAAGCATAAATCGCTAATAGTATGCTGATGTCTCGGTAGCTAGCTAGCTAACTTTCCTGTTCCACCTTAAATAGTCCAGCAGTTCTAACGCCTGAAGCGCCAGAATGTAACTGCTGCACCATTTAAGGTGGAACGGGAAAATTCGAACAAGAAGCTGATGAACAGCTGACTTCAGCTTCATATCACCAAAGAATTAGAGGTGGGTGATGATAAATATTTGTCTCATACCCCCTCTTTGAAAGCATATGATGCCCAAAATGTAACTAAAGCCGAGTGGCGAGGTTGGTGAACTTTTCTTTGCTATCACTAAAGACAGGCCGGGTCGCCTACAGAGCACCACTAGTAGTTTTTTTTTTTAATTTGAGGGTTGTCCCATTTCATAGGGCAAGATTTCCACCACTACCCCTTGTAACTCAGTTTCAAGGGGTTAGGATGACACTCGAAAACAAGGGGTAGGGGTAAAAAGAAGAAATGGGATTAGGCCTTAGTGTTGTACCAGTTTACTTAAAATGAAGGTTAAAGTTGCCACAGCATATGCAAGTCTGACTTGGCTTTCCACAGCATTACCTTCAACATGCTGATGTCGATTCAGAAGCAGCAGAGCAGTCAATATATTGATGAAGCTGAAATTGGTGTCTTACAGGTGCCACAGTGTATCTGCTGCACCATTTAAGGTGGAACAGAAAATTCAAATAAGAAGCTGGTGAAAAAGAAGCCAGGTTATAGCTCAAAATTATGGACATTGTCCTGTAGTGTTAATTTAGCTCTTGGTGAACAGTGCCCTTCACATTTACAGGTTATAGTAATGCCAATTAATCAATAACTACTAATTCACACAATCAATCAAATATTAGAAAAAAATATTGCAGACCTACCACACTTTGTAAGTGCACCCCTGTTGCATGCAGCTGTTTCTCTGTGATAAGTGCTGACATATCCACCCAAACGTGCACGTCACTTATTCTGCATTTGAAACATTTGGTTGATTTTTATTACCGGTTGACTCTTTGATTCCTCATCTTCACCAGATTCGCACCGGACTGGGTTCTTCACAGAGGAAAGATGAAGGATATTGTCGATCCTCTTGGTGCCATCCAGATGCTGGTCAAAGCTCTTGCCCTCATGCCTTAAGAATGTAGACGTGTAATCTGTGTGTGTATATATGGTGTATATATTATTTTAACATTTTTGTCTTTTGCCTAACAAAGTAAACTTGTACATACTTTGTAAAATAATGCTTTATATTTTTGCTTTTACCCTTCCAAAAAAGTCCTTCTCAGTTATCAGCTTTGAAGATGATGCTTTTACCTTCAGATATTGTTCTGTGTAATTTGAAAGTCGGAACAAAGTCAGCTACAAAATTAGTAGTGGATGATGACGCAATAAAAATTCTTTGCTACGCAGTTATTTTTGTTTCTTGGCTGTATGAATGAAGCATTATTTGATTCAGAGGGAAATGTGATCTTGAAAAGCTTAATGATGTGCAGTGATGATGGCAGCTTGGTACAGGACATGTTAGAGTAATGTGATTATGTTTTTTTCTGTAATGACTTGTATTGCATTGTGTATTGCATTACATTGTGAGTTCTTTTGTGTGCTAATTATGCAAGATGTATTTGAAATTCCTCTGGTCAGATTATCCATCCCTGTCCTTTTATGTAATTTGCACTATGTAATGCTTGTGCTCACCACAAAAGCTGACTGTTTAACTTGGGTGATACTGCATGAACACAGGAAACTACTTTCCACCACCGTCAGAGAGCCTCGCCTAAAAAGACTCTCTTCTTTCAGGAACAGCTCTGTAAGCTTCACCTTTTACTCCTAAAGATGTTATTTTGAGGCAGCTGTTTTTGGATGGTTTTTAGGTGCTCGTTTCTGCTTTCAAACAGCAACAGCCATTCACCATTTTAATTTTAACAGCACTGGTGGCTGTGCCTTGTTTAAAGGCAACTGATAATAACAGGCCTAAATTATGTTTACTGTGATTGGCTGTTTCTTTCAAAATAATTTACTGAAGTGGTCTGTTGGGCTTTCCCTGTACTTCCCGTTTGGTACAGATCTGTTTGAGATATAAGGAGTAATGTAGTGTTACACTAATGAGCAGCAAGATTTTGTTTTTGAGTAGTCTGATTGCAGTTTGAAGTAATTAGTAAATTGTAATGGATTTCTTTCTCATTTTTTCCCCCAAAATGCTTGACCTTTTAGGCTGCAGTGAGCTATACCATCCACATTTAATTCCATTTCCTTAAGAAGTTTTAGCCCAGAAATGTAATTGCGAAGGGTGACTACCCTGTGGTGTTACAGAGTGATGGTTGTGGGGCCACTATTAAAATCTCTGGATCTCATTACTATATTCTTTTGACTTTTCAATGACATTGACCATGTTAGCATGCATTTAAAAATACAATAACTGCAGAAAATCAGACATTCAGTATGTTTGCGTGCAATGGACCATTCGGTTAAGAAGCTGGTAAATAGGAAGCCAACTTTAGCCATGCCTGTTGACAGCTCGGTTCCTTGGGAAGGATGTGAAAAGTGCCAACATCCCCTTCACCACCTGGAACAGTACATTTCTGTACATAGTCCACCATTTTCATTGCTGTTGTCATGGTTATGTCCTTTACAATACCTGCTGGACTAGAACGTGGGCTGGTTTATGTCACTTTTGGGGGTGTGAATATTAATGACTCAAGACTGTTATGTAACAGTTTAGGATTTTGGAATCGGCTCGTTTTATCATCCTCTTTTGCAAATGCAGGCATTGCATTTGAAAGAGGAGACTACAGTGCTACATGTACCAAACTCTCCTTATTCAATGTAAACAGTTTTCTATTCTATAGCACCTTTAAGATATGGAACTTAATCAGCCTACATAAAAGTTTTGTTATTGTGAAAGTGAAATCTTTGATTCACTGTATCTCAAAACTGCACTGAATGCAGAAAGAATCTGATCATTCCAAGTAGTTAAAAAAGCAGATGAACCAGACAGCTGAATATCCAAAACTGCTTTATTGGCTTTCTTAAAATTATTCATAAAGAAGTTAAACAGCAGGACAGCTATGCATGTTTACAAGATGATGCGTACAAATAATCAATATAAAATTAAAGGAAACAGGTAAAAATGCATTCCTTAACTTGATAATTTGCCTCTAATCGATAATCATTAACAGAGAGTCAGTCTGATTTGCTTGTTTCTGAGATTTGAATGAACACAAGCCGTATTGTCACAGAATTAAAAGGTTCATTACTTCACCAACTAGGATCAGTATTAGTGGCCTAAGCTACACTATTGGCAAAAGGGCAAATACATTACTCCATTATTGCACTGCGACATAAAGTAGGTTCTGCTTGTTGCTGGTCGTCTTCCATATTGACATACAAAGGCCATATAGTAGCCATGAAGTATCAGTAGTGTCTGTTTCCTGTAGTCACGTGGTTCTATTTTTTTGTCATCCATATCTTCATCTGTCACAATACAGGGTTCTAAAACAGAGTTGAATATGCAACAAAGAGTGTTTAAAGTTATTTTAATATATTACCATTTTAACTGAAATACTGTCACACGTTGCAGTTTACTGACAAACAAACTCTTCTGTTGTCTTTACATCAAGCAAAGAGATGAATAAACAATGCAGCAACATGATTTTCACATTAATTGCTAATTTACACCTCATGAAATGTGAATAAGCTGTTGGTCATGATATTAGCCTAGCTGTATTATATTACACAGCTTTTAGGTTCTCTCAAGTTTTACAACATACAACAACATAATCAGAATTACATGCTAATGACACTCCACTGAAACTGCTTGTACAACAGTGCATCACTGTGCCACTAGGATGCGACTGCACATTTATAACTTTAATACTTTAATAAATGCACTCAGAGTTTCTGGTGATATCTAGGCAGTCCTGAGGTCTTCTTGCCGAGTTTGACATAGTTCTACCCATCTACATGTACAACTGATCATTAGCTTATCACTACTTACCTAAACACCTTAAATGTACTCCTGTCCATGTTCCCTGATTACAGGTTGAATAGGGGTTACCTTCCATAATGTGGTTTCTCTGGCAGGTGTACTGAACAGTTTCACCATGCCTGTACCGGGCCTTTGGGGTAGTGGTTAGTTTGCTAAATCTGCGGTTGGGTGGTGGACCACAAGCACCGTCTGTTAACACAATATTACACAATAATGACATTAATATGATGATACATTTTTTCTAATGCATAGAATACTGTACTTTATGCACAGTACTGTCCAAGTTAGAAAACAACTTTACAACATATACTTGACAATAAAACATCATCTTGACAATAAAGAAGTGACAAGAGGTTGAGGGATTTTGATTATATATATATATATATATATATATATATTAAAGAAACAAGAATTTTTACCTATGCATGTGGGATAGGGGCTGTTCCATGTTCCATCTGATCTGCATGTAATTGATGAAGGTCCCATCATAATCATGTTAGAATGGCTACATTGAAAATATAAGATATGTTTAGGTTTATATGGTGGAGCTCTGCCAGGAACTCCCCTGACAATTCTCACATTATTCAGCTGTCCTTCCTTGCAGGTAACCGCTGTGGAAGAAATGAGACAAAAGTTTAGCAAAATGGGACTTTTTCACTGTGTAAATAAGTGTCAGCTTTTATATATAGCCATTGTTCAGCATTCCAGGTTTTTTATTTATAACAATTATTCCTGATTTGCAAATAATTTTACCATAACCACAAAGTATCATGACTTAAAGGGCCCACATAACGGAAAAAAAAAATTACACACTTCTTTTTAAACAAAAGAGCTGGTGACCCGTTATTTTGAGTGGTTTTTAGATGAAACAAATGCTCAACAGGTTAGGGTTAGGATTAGGGCCAGGGTTAGGGTTAGGATTAGGTTTTGGGTTGAGGTTAAGGTTAGGGTTAGGATTAGGGCCAGGGTTAGGGGTAGGGTTAGGTTTTGGGTTGAGGTTAAGGTTAGGGTTAGGATTAGGGCCAAGGTTAGGGTTAGGATTAGGGCCAGGGTTAGGGTTAGGATTAGGTTTTGGGTTGAGGTTAAGGTTAGGGTTAGGATTAGGTTTTGGGTTGAGGTTAAGGTTAGGGTTAGGATTAGGGCCAGGATTAGGGTTAGGATTAGGTTTTGGGTTGAGGTTAAGGTTAGGGTTAGGATTAGGTTTTGGGTTGAGGTTAAGATTAGGGTGAGGATTAGGGCCAGGATTAGGTTTAGGTTTTGGTAAGGTTGGGTAAGGTTAGGTTTTCCGTAATGGAAGCAACATCTAGAAGATATTTATTTCAGTGTATTCAGATGTTTCACTACTGCTACTTCACTGATATGTTGTTGATGTGTTACTGATAATTTGTAAAGAGTTTATTAATCATCTACAAAGGACCTCTCAAAATAAAGTGTTACTAAAGAGTTTGATTATATAAATGGCCATTTTTATTGTTTCAAAACATACCATTCACACCCAAATCTATATAGTCCATATATGAAAACTCAACAGCAAAAATTGCGAGGGCTGTTTGATGTCACAAAAAACAAGATTGTATGGGGCCTTCCTTTTTATTTCTCTAATAAAAGTGATATTAATCTTAGCACTGATCTTTCTTGTAAGCCTGCCCTCAGCAAAGTATATCTTGGAAAAAAAAAATAAAAATTTTAAAGTGGTCTTAAATGCATTTTGCAACAAAACCCTTTAATTCAATGTTTCTATGATGTTATAAAAACAAACACAACTACATACACAGCAGTTCAGCCCTGCTCATTCACACTAAGGTTATAAGCAGTGTTTCAGTCCAGACTGCTTTTTGAATGAGGCACAATACAGGACAGCCAATCAGAACAGAAACATTTACATATACTAGTCTTAAAGGCATAGCAACAAAATAAATAAATATAAAGGACAAAGAGAGGTTGGAATATGGTCATAATAAAATTAATTATTACTGTTTGTGGTACATAAAATCACACCAATGTTATGACTGAAAAGTTAAGTAACAATAACAAAAGTCTGTTAAAACTGCTTAAACTTTACAGCAGTAGTAGATCTGTAACCAACTCTTATTTTCATCAATAGCATCATATATTATCATGTTATGCTATCTGCAATGAACATAACTGTTTATCAGTATAAACATGTTGCTTTAAGGCTTGCTGTTGTGCCTGAGTGGTTTTTGCTTTGTGCACAACAGCATTCTTTGCCTACACCAGGGGTCAGCAACATGCGGCTCCCCAGCAACAGGAAATAATCCTCCACTGCAGTAAAATGAAGCTGTGCTGATCGTTCTAACACAGTTTTAAATGCTGGAGTTAATGTAGCCTACAACTGCTAATTCACCCTTTAACCCTGAAGGCTGGCGCACAGACTGCTGGTCACCATAGCCACGACAACAATCTCGCCTAGCTAGTAGTTAACGAAAAAGGCAAAGAGAAAGATTTAAGACGAACATCGATACTTTGGAGACGAGTGGACTCATTTACAATCACTCCAGCTGGTTTCCTGATACGTTTAATCTGCAATGAGAAACTGTCAAACACTGAAGTCAGCTTCTCTTTTGCCAGCTTCTTGTTCAAATTCTCCCGTTCCACCTTAAATGGTGTAGAAATTACATTCTGGCACCTCAGGCACCATTTAAGGTGGAACAGGAGAATTCGAACAAGAAGCTGGTGAATGAGAAGTGACTTCAGCCTCGTAAAAAGTCGAACATTGAGGGACATTTTACTAGAAACTCTTCTACTTTTGTGGTAAAGTGTTCAGCCGGATATGCGAGAAAAGCAGCTATATATGAGCTAAAGCTTAATGTTATATTTTTTATCCATACTTGTACATTAACACATACTGAGACATATTTACAGCCAAGATGGTAAAATGGATATAAAATGTTGTGGCTCCCAAGGTGGTTTGATTTTTGTTGAAAGGACTAAATGTCTTAACATTTGGGTTGCCGACCCCTGGTCTATACGGATGCTACAAAGCTGGGCAAAATACAGACAACCTCTTAAAATGAAATTAGCACTGACTGGGTGCATATCACTCTAATCTTCCTGTGTTCCACATTGAATGTGTTTTTCAAGCCAGAATCATAATACTAAGAAGTATAAAACCCATGTGAACCCATGTAATCTATAAGGTCACTTACACAGTATAATCTGTTTTATTTCGACACAGTAACAGAACCAGTTTGTTTAATTCTAAGGTATAAAGAAGATGGAAAATTGGCAAGTCATTGTTTTGGTACATAAATAGACCTTAAGACTCAAGAAAAATGAAGGATATGGGATCTTTAATATACATAACTCACTATGAGATGTGTTTACCTTCACATTTGGGAAAAGGGCTGCTCCAGGTTCCTCCTGCTGAACAAGTCACTTCACCACGTCCTGTCAGAGCCATCTCTGGGTGAGAGCAGTAGAACTGTAACTTGTGCCCGTACTTGATGAGTGCATATTTTTCTGGAAGCCCAACCACAGATACTCCGCTGCTGATCTCTTCAAGCTCACACGTGACCTCTGAAGAAGTTGACGACAGAACAGTTCAAATTAATTTTGTTTTAATAATGTTGGTGCTGTTGCCTTTCAGGACTGATTCTAAATCACCATCATGCTGTTTCTAGTGGAGGCTATGGAGATGACTCTACAGTGATGATCTAGAATCAGTCCAAAAATTTCAGAATATGTTAGCTATTTATTTCCTTTGTATTGTGTGTTTTTAATAAAGTTAGTTGACAATTAGCAAAATAATGATTGACACCTATAAGTTCTCTCTAAGGCAAACCTCCCAAAAAACTCTTCACAACAAAACCTATGTAAGCCCATTCTCACAGGGTAGAGGAGGAAATATACCAACAGGGCAGTTTTGTTTCTGATAGCTAATCCCAACTGGTTAGCTTTGCTTTACAATCCAGCTAACGTTAAGTTACGTTACTTGCTGTGCTGTGGTTCGCTTGCCAAAGGGTTTTACGGCCACAAAGACCTAAAAAACAAGTTTGCAGCCCAGCGTCTTTCACCTTGACAATGAATTTGGGGGGAGAGCTTCTGGAGGAGCAACGAAGGGAAGAATGTATTTGTTTTGCTGTTGAGTTTAAATATCAACAGTTGTTCCTCAGAATCGCTACTGGACTTTTAATGTAGTAATTTTTAAAAACAGGCTGTAGTGAGACCAAACTGTCCTACCCATGTACATCATATCCTGGTGTTAGTTTCAGGTCACGGTGTGGAACAAGTTAGCAAAGTTGCTGTAACACAGTTTCTCGTTTTTGCTCGGTACTTGGATGTGTTTTTTTTGAATGAAACAGCTTTATTGGAAATTGTCCATATACAGTGCTGTCTATAGTGACTATGTTTCATGTGCAGTGTAAACACCCATGTCGCAGCATGCCAACCAGATTGAGAGTGTTTGTAAAATCGCAGTGTGTGCCTGGATTTAGAGGAATAAATACAGTCATAGTGGTACTCAACCGATGGCAGCATGAAGCCATGCAAACGTTGGTGTAGTGATAGCGTTACTGATGAAAAAGAAGGAGATATTAGCAGTGTGGGATGTTCATTTAAGGTGGAAAAAGGAAGGAGGATGCTCTGTACTTTTTTTGTATAATGCTGGATTTGTCTGGAATTCAACAATGAGATGTTCGGCATCCATGGCACCCAAAAAAACATCAACATCTGGTGTATTTCACCGCTGCAGTTGATGGCAAAAGTTCTGAAAATTGAAGCGCAAGTCCAGACTGGCAGTGGCAGAATTTTCCGTCACAGCTCTATTGGAAAAACAGTGAGATATCTGGTTTGCTGTATAAATATAAATAAAAATAATGTGTGCCCACGACTTAGTAAGGCGTGGGAATTCGATAATTAAGTCGTGGCCACGTGTTAGGATCTCATTTGCTGCCATCACTGTTAGTCAAAACACAAGTTGTGAAACCTTACCTTCACATTGAGGAAGACGATTACTCCACTCCCCATTTTCTTGGCATGTTGCTTCATTTGGTCCCACCAGTTTGAGTCCAGGACTGTTACACGTGAACTGTATCCTGTGTCCGTATCTCAGTGTGGTGTCATAACCAGGCAGTGCATCCATAATGACGTTGCTCTCAGTTTCAGGTGGGGGGCATGACAGCTCTAAGAGGGAGAGTCTTATTTTAATGCCTTGGCTATTGATATCTATAGAATTGCTTATCATTTGGATGTGGATGATACATATCACTAAGTGAAATCATCACAAATCTAATCAATATATAATATTTCTCTTTTTTAGATCAGTATATTTTGGAGAGTGGAGAGTATATTTTAATGCTTTCAGTAAATGATGGCATCATTTCTTCTGAGAATGCACAAACGATAGAAAGCCTAAATAATCACTACATGCATTGCATAATACAGAAAATTATTATAAGAGAAAGTTATGGAAATAGTGGAATTATAGTGGGAGTTGTCCTCAATCATACTCAAATACTACAAATATCTGAAACCCAGCTTAACTATAATTCACTTCACCTTACAAGCACTACAATACAAAGCAAAACTCCATCTGTCTAGCAGTCTCTGTCGTGTACACAGTCACAGCAAAGCAATGTGCATTTAAAAGGCCTATAAGGTTGCATGCTGCCTGTAAAGCCAATGGAAAATCCTAAGCACACTGAAGAAAGCTGAGTTCCCATCAGTTGCTCTTGACATTTGTGTTACCTGCGCACTCAGGTAAGTGGTTGTCCCACCCCATAGCCAAACACGTCCTGGTGTCCATCCGACTCACCATCTGGTAGCTAAAAAAACTTCAGTTAAGAAGAAGCAGCATGCAGGACTAAGCTGTGTCCACATTCATTCAGGACTGACTGGACTCACCCTTCTTTGCATATGTATTTGACAGTAGCTCCATACACAAAGTCAGTGCCGTTGACTATAACAAAGCGGCCGTTTGGTATGTCCGCGGGGAGCTCACAGCGTTTCCCTGGTGACGTTTCAAGAACAAAAACAAACTTATTGATTTCAGTCTTGGACAACCTGGTCAAAGGACATGCTTTGTTGATTTTCTGAGTGAAAGTAAGTCAACATGTCCTCTATAGAGAACACACTTCTGGTATTTTAATGGAGGATCTCTGTTCATTTGCTGAATTTAAGAATTTAACATATTGGGGATGCAAGAGAACATAAAGTGTGGTCTGTTCAAAAGTTATGAATATGAACTTTAGTAAAGAATCTATTTGAGTAGAAAATTACAGTAAAAATGTTAAACCAAGAAAAAGTACTATTTGTGGTGATGATGATGTGCATTTCCTGAAGAAAATGCAGTGGTTGGGCAGCTTAAGCGATTTGAGAATAGTTGCTAAGGTGTTGCCAGGCTGTTGCTATGGTACCCAAGGTGGTTGCTAAGGTGTTGCAAGGTGGTTGCTATGGTATCACAGGTAGTTGCTAAGGTGTTGCAAAGTGGTTGCTATTATATCCCAGATGGTTGCTATGCTGTTGCTAGCCGTTTGGTATAGTATCTAAGGTGGTTGCTAGGCAGTTGCTATAGTATCTCAGATGGTTGCTATGGTTTTGCTAGGAGGTTGCTATGGTATCCAAGGTGGTTGCTAAGTTTTGCTAAGTGGTTGCTATGGTATCCCAGGTGGTTACTATGGTGTTGCTAGGCGTTTGGTATAGTATTCCAGGAGGTTGCTAGGCAGTTGCTATGGTATCTCAGGTGGTTGCTAAGGTGCTGCTAGGTAGTTGCCATGGTATCCGGGGTGGTTGCGAGGTGTTGGTAGGTGGTTGCTATGGAATCCCAGGTGGTTGCTAGGTGGTTGAGCAGAAGGACAGTAAACGGACGTGCAATTTTTTACCCCATTAATTCATATGGGAAAAAATTGAACGAAGTTTGTGTGAAAACCGTAAGTCGGATCAAAAAGCTGTATTCAAGAACACCATTCCCGATCAGAACATACATTCCAGATTTGCAACGGTGTTGATATCTCAAAAATTGAGATAGCGAGTTAGTGGACAAAAATCCGGCAGAAGAATAAGAAAAAAAGAAGGAGAAGATAAATTGAATAACAATAGTGTTGCAATTACTAATGACCTAATAATAGCCTAGTCAGGTTGAACCAGTCAAATGATCATCACTGGACTGCAGTAAATTCAAGTCAACATTAAACACTTATCAAAAATATCCATCACTTATATGGAAACTGTACTCACGTGAACATTTGGCATTGTCTCGAATGTTGATCCACTGGTTCTTTTGACAAACGAAAATGATTTTTCCCAGAGATACATAACCTTGTTGGCAAGCGTACAGCAATCTATCTCCTTCAGTGTAGTTACTTTTCAAAGACATTGGGGAAACTTCTCCATTGTCCACTACAGGAAGCGTCTCTGGACAAGCTTTTGCATCGGCTGATGGACCCACGTCCACAGCATCTGTTACAGTAGAATCAATATTATTTTAGTGTTACCCTGCGTTTCATACACACTATTTAGTGACATTCAGTTGCAATAAAATTAGATGCAATAAACTATAAAAGTGAATGAAACAGTGAAAGAAAATAAAAGCTTTACCTTCATGAGCTGAAGTATAAACACAGGCAAAGAAGGAAAGACACAGGAAAACTAAGCCTGACTGCATTATTCCAAAATCAGTCAGTTTACTCAGAGCAGCAGGAGACCACTCGTTATGTGAACTTCAACAGGGTTAATATATCTCAGTTTAGGCCCTGCCCCTTCTGTGTGTGTACAAACATAAGGTCAACAGGGTCAAGCAAGAGTACGAACATTGTGAAATAAGAGCAGATTTGTGTGCTTAAGTTGTGAATCATCAAGTGTTGTACGCTTTGTACAACTTGACCAGCGCAATTCACAGTAATGAAAAACGGAAGATATTTACTTGATTTAATGACGAATATTTGGCATAGGAAAAAAACATCATGACATCAAATTAACTTTGAACAAATTAAAGGAGAATTCCACTGATTTTTTAAATTCTACATCAGGGGTGTCACTAGAGATATGGATAGGGGGGCTAAGCCTTTACTTAGGGCAGGGGTGTCAAACTCAACCACTTAAAAGGAGCATTTTAAAAAAATCTCAACAAACCCGTGGGCCAAAGAACGCCTATGTTTTTATTTCATTTTTAGTTAATGCTGTGTAACAACTGGAACTGACCACTGTTTATTCAAAGTACACAAAAAAACGTCTACAGTAAAATATAGACACTTGAAGACCATGAAATATTACATGAATACTTGAAATATTCAAAATTTAAATGTCCCCAGGAGCTCAGTCTTTTAAACCTACCTATTTACTTAAACTAGACACCTGGCATCCTTTCTTTGCTGCACATTCATTAAGACTTGGGCTCAGTTTCTGAGCTGCTGCGCCGACGTTAGGTGTAAATGCAGCTACTGTGTTTGGTGATATGACTGGTGTGGAACTGTGTAGAACTGAGGTGTAACCACTGTCCCATAGACTGTTGTTGGGGTATTAGAGTCAGAGCTCATTATGTTGCAGTGCATGCTGGGGATTGTGGTGCAGCGCATTGTGAAACAAGCTAATATTAATAAAAATTAAAATAGGGCGGATAGGATTGTGTCGCAGGCCTGATTTGGCCCGTGGGCCTTGGGTTTGACACATGGGACTTAGGGGCTCGGGAGGAGGATGTTTCTCATTGGCCCCAAAATGTCAGTTAATCATTAATAATGGCTATTTGGTCAAGTTGGCTCACAGAAGATCTGCATAAGTACAGACCTTTTATGACTTAAATACTTGCACAGCTCACAGATCAAACAAAGGAATTAAGCAATGTAATGTGATCTCCTCTCTCTTAGATAAGCTGCAGATCATTATTGTTGTAACATGCTGTGTCAGTTCTCCCAAAGAAGAGTCCTGACAAACCAAGGTCTCAGAAAAGTGTTATCTGAGTTAACAAAAGCAGCCTTTATGACAGATGACACCTCTCTGAATAAGCCTTTATAAATGTTTATGTAGGTTTACGTTGACTGTCATGATAAGCTTATGTAGGTGCTACGTAGCTTTATGAGCACAGTCCTACAGTACAGTGTACTTAATGGAAAGAAATAAGCATTACAGCAAAACCAAAGGAGCATTTTTGAGCACTACTGAGAAAACACTTAACTAAATCATCACGAGATGGCAAATTTACTGCCATCATGACTCAGAGCATTAATCTCTTTGGCCTATCAGAGAACATCCTGATTATCTCTTAGTTATTACACATAAGAATCATATATCAGTGTCATATTCAGAACTATACATCTCCATTTTTTTTTCTACCTCATTTTCACTCAGCAGCTGCTAGACTGTGTGAAAATTTCATGATGAATGGACCAATAGAAATGTTCCAGATTGACTTGGAAAAAAACCTCAAAATATCCTACATTTCATTTAGAATTTACCTTTCCTCCCCTGAAGCCCACCAAGTTTCACCAAGTACATTGGTCTTTAGTCCTTAAACAGGCTGTTTTTTGGGCAGTGTGTTCTCCTCCAAGCACGCTGAGCTGTCCAATGATCTTGTGTTAGCTGCAGCTCAATAAGATGTGGCGGCGCTTCATGCGTCTCAGAGGAAGCACATGTTAGCCTTCACCATCCCAGCATGGTAGCATCAGGTGATAGGAGGGTTACTTTTTGTCATTTCATTTTATTAAATGCAAAACACCTCATGTACCTGGCTTGTCACTGACTGACTGACTGACTGACTGACCAGCTAACTTAATTAAGTAACCAATTAGCAAACTAACCAGCTAACTAACTAACATTATCCAACTAAGGAATCAACTAACTAAATAACTTGGTAACCAATTAGCACACTAACCAGTTAACTAATTAACTGAGCAGCCAACTAATTAACTAACAATTAACAAACTAACTAGCTAATTAACTAAGTAACGAACCAGCCAACTAATTAAGTAAGCAAGTCACAAACTAACCAGCTAACTAATTAACCAAGTAACCAACTAACTGACCAGCTAACTACTTAACCAAGTAACCAACTAACTAACCAGCTAATTAACCAAGTAATCAACAAAGTAACCAGCTAACCAGTTAAATAACTAACGAGCCAACTATTTAACTAAGAAACTAACCAGATAACTAATTAATTAGTAACCAGCTAATTAACCAACCAGCTAACTAGTTAACTAAGTAACTAACTAGCCAGATAATTAACTAAGTAACCAACTAACTAAGTAACCAACTAACCAACCAACAAACTAAGTAACAAACTAACTTAGTAACCTGGACTGTGTTTCCTGAAAGCACCCTTGAGCAACCATCATGGTAACGGTGGAGAGAGAGTGTTCAAAATTATAGTCTCTCTATCATTTAACTATGACAGTTGTTCATTGACACTTCCGGGCAACACACTCCATCTTAACTAACTACCGAGGTAACCAACTGAGTAACTAAGCAACAAACTACGCAACTAAATATCCAACGAAGTTACTGACTAAATAACCATCTAAATAACTGACAAAGTAAATAGGTAACCATCTAATTCACTGACTCGTGTTTAGCAGACTGAATATTGTCCACAAAGGGGCGCTATTAGTACTGACATAGGTTTTGCATCACATCAATGACACCATGTCCCTGATTTTTAGGTTAGGCAAGTAAAGTTTACAGTTACAGATGATAGTGTTAATATATTAAACTAGAGTTTTAATATGGTAGGTATAAAAGTGCACAGAGCTCATAGCTGTTTTTCCATAAGGTCCCTCATTCTCTCACTAGAACATCTGAAACGGTTTCAGTTTCTTACTTAATTCATTTGAGCATGTGATATTAGTCATTATGATCATTTACACACAGGGACAGCATCTTTCTGGGTTCAGGCCATTTGACTTGATGAAAGCGGTCAATGAAGCATCTTTAATGAAGTAAATGAGATTTACTCAGTAACTGTGAATCAGTTAATGAGATGAGCACTGCGCTCGGAGCTTTTCCTCATGGAGACCATCGCAACTCATGGGGAAAAACATATCTACATGCTATATTATGACATATAGAGCAAAAGAACATAACACAAAAAGTGCTCATCTCATTTCACATGCGCATAACTGAGCATCAGGTTTCCGAGGTGTCTGAATCCCTCTTGTTCATTTCTAGAATTAAAACTGACATAGGTCGCCCTCTGGTGGCACAAACAAATAATTGCAGAAATAGTGCCACAGAGTCATGCCATATGCAGCTTATTCACCAATCAGCCTCCTTGTTTCTACATTCACCATCCATTTTATCAGCTCCACTCACCATACAGGAGCACTTCGTAGTTCTACAACTACAGACTGTAGTCCATCTTTTTCTTTGCATTTTTGTTAGCCCCTCTTTCACCATGTTCTTCAAAGGTCAGGACCCCCACAGGAAACAGATGGACTACAGTCTGTAAGAACTACAAAGTGCTCCTATATGAGTAAGTGGAGCTAAAAACTGGACAGTGAGTGTAGAAACAAGGGGGTGGTGTTAATGCTATAGCTGACCACTGTATGGGCTTTTCAAGAATGTATTTGACCTTCAACAGGATTGAAACAATAAAGCCACTTTGTGTGCTGTGTTTTAGTCCACACCAATGTGAAATACAACATTCTCTTTTATTATTGTATTATATTGATAAATGTCTTCCATCTGAAAAAAAGAAAATACAACATGAAAAAGAATAAACTATAATATCAATAATAAAGTATGTACAAGAGAATGAACATATATCTCCAATCTGTTTGCTCTTCTGTACTCTCTACACAACCATGGGTCAGAAACCCCATGTCGATTCTTTACAGGAAGGAAATAAAATCCATAGCTTGAACTGTTACATTGAAACCCTGTACGTCTGTAGTGATGGCATGCAAACGCGAAGCCACTCTCGGTCAAGGTGTATTGGTGTTTAAACCCTCTGTAAAACCCAACAACCTAAAAATATTCATACTAATCAATGGCTCATATACACAGTCATGGAGTGCTGGACTGAAATCATCAGACACTTCACTCGAGACATGACTGAGGCTGGAAATCATGCTAATTTAGTCTGGTGACCAAAGATCACTCTGTCAAAACGACGCTGCTTTTTATAGACTAAAGTGTCCAGAGCTCCCATTATGGGCCTATTAGTAAAAGGAATACTCCAGTGTTTTTCAATCTGATTGAAATCTGTAGCATCTGTACTGCAGGATTGATTACAACAAACAATATGTTTAATCCTTTTCTCTGTACTCAGAAAAAACTTGTTTACTTGAATCTCCTTATAATTGAAGTCAATGGGCAGTTGCTTCAGCTTTCGCATCTGCCCACTGGCTTCTATACGCTTTTCTCCTCATTTACTAAGTACAAGTCTATTATTATTATTGTCTGTGGGAACTGACTGTATGCTACATATGTAGCAGATATTAAGGTTGAAAAATGCTTAGGTTTTCCTTTAACATACTCAGTAACTACCAAAGTACAGCAAGAATTTAGCATGTGACAGAATTAGTGTTGATTTAGGATCTAAGCCTTTCGATCCTGACAATCACTGCACCTGGCGGCTCAGTCACTTGGTAAATGTTGATCCAGGGCTAAGTGCGGCTCTCCTTTCATTTGAACCCTTTTTAGGTCAGCTAATCAGTTCCCATCTCTGACCAGCAGGGGGCACTACACAACCTCATGAATCAAAGACAACTCAGGACAACTCGGACGTCTGACAAATAACTCTGCTTCATTAGTTTGGCATGCAGAAAACTATAAATGTGTCTGGCTTTTTTTGTGAGATTTCTCCCCACTAGTAAAAGGGGAGCGCCACCAATTTTTCAAAATTTCAGCATAACTAAATGATTAGTCAGCATTGTTCACAGTGGTGGTGATAGGAAAGTCCACCTCTAAAAGCTACCATACAAAGTTATTGCATGAATTGGTTATGAATATACTGCCTGATTTCTGAGGCACTGTTTTATGATAACTTTGTGATAAAGTTTTGGCCTAATCTTGTTTGTCTTGTTAATCTGTTTACTTTAATCTATTCATTGTGGAAGAATACATGCAGGCGTTATAAGGCAAAATAGTCCCCAAAGATAAAATTTTTTTCCAGATTTTCCATTAATTTACCATCAGCAACATTACATATAACAACTCAGAAGACATGTGTAGATTCACTGCTGGTTTTGGATAGTAAATAAAAATGGCTACATTTGTGTTGTAGACATGGTGACCCCTGGTTCCCATCACCACCACTGTAAAGAAATCAGAGTCAGTTTCTCTAAAATGAACCATTTCACATCAAACCACTCTGATGACTTTGTTCACATCTCAAGCACTTAATTATGCAGACATTGATTTAAGTCAGTATTAAGGTATGACAGTGGTTCCAAGCCCAAAGCTTGTTTGTGCCTGCTAACCTGAGGAGCTGAGTAAGGCGAGTTAAGTCAGGAAAAACAGAAACATGTAGATCATGGGGTTCCTCTGTGCTATTAGGGCCCTGAAGCAATGATGGCAGCAGAGACCGCTGATCTACTACGACAGACACATCACTTTGCTACAGCTGCTAAAAGGTCCAGTTTAAATGAGTTAGTCTCACCTTTGTTCGTTTTGAATTAGAATTTTATTTACAGTAGGTTTAGATATGATTCTGTTTCTGCCACTGGAATAAAATAATACAGCCATTAACAAGTCATAATAAAGAGAGCTTTCCATAATTATGACTTCCACAATACTATCCATATACTATCCATAATAATATGACCATAATATATCCATAATTATGACAAAGCATCTTAAAATTATGACTTAGCATCTTACAATTATGATTTAGCATGTCATAAATATGACTTAGTATCCATAATTATGACATAGCATCTCAAAATTATGACAGCATTTCATAAGGAAGATGTTACTTTCTCATAATTATGACTTAGTATCTCATAATAATGAGATTCAATCTTTTTAATATGACTTCCTCTTAATTAAGACTTTCACAATTATGACTTTCTCATAATGACTTACTGTCATAATTGACTTAGCATCTCAATCCAGGGGCGGAAATGGGCTTTCCACAAATTCAGTGCAGAATATTCAAAAAATATGTCAAGTTTTATCTTTTTTGAAGGCAAGACATAAGGTGTGCCATCATGTTAGAGTTGTTGTTGTTTAGTGGCTTTGACTGAATCTCAAACGCTCCCTACTCCCTATACAGTGCACTGCAGGGGTCATAAAACTACGCATATAAACGCAGATATATTTCCGGTCGCCATAGCCTTCCAGCTGATGCTTCCACAGTGCACAGCAGAAGCTGCTGAGATCATTTTTGTCCTTTATCAGAACTTTGTGTAGAAAGTGTCTGCATATGTTCATCACACGGCAAAAAAATGGAGCAGCAGACTATTTGCCAAATCGTCAGCGTTGTCCTGTTAAGACTGTTCACTACTAAAAGCACGCATCATTGGGTAACATTGGTTAGCTTTTCGCAGTTTAATATACACTGTATACTGTATTCATAAATAGATTGTTTGTAAATACTTAAACTATACACACTGAATTTCTCTTATCTTTCTAAAATCAAATATGCACCAAGATAGAACAAAAGGATAAACATATTTACCAGTATATCGCACACATATGTCACTTTCTCCATCCATTTCTGCCAATCCAATTTTACTAAATTATTCCCCATTTGGTTAAGTAGCAAAAATTCACCTTAAATTCCATTAACTCAAGATTTAATGACCTGAAAATGAAGAGACCACACACACATAAACACGCGCTCCTTTTGCTTTGTAGTGCTCGCGTCATCACTTTAAAAGGCATGTAGAATTCTTGATAAGACTGGCAAATCTTCCACCATTCAGTAAAGAGAATATTACAGGCACCCCCAGAGAAACACTCCTACATTTCAAGTAATCACAGACAGAAAAAAAAAATCCTTAAAAAATATCGTCTTGCATCAAATCCGGGTTACGATCCATTTGCAACCTCAGTCGCCAAACATACAGTAAGGAAATAAAAAAAAAAAAACCTAGTATTTGCTTCAAACAATTATATATAAAATATATATCCAAACATACAGAAGGTGTAACCAACCAGCCCACCAGGTAGGTTGAAGCAGGAGTGTAGCTGTATGTGCAAAAAGGTTGAAAAAGGTTGCATTGATTCAGAGAGGGAGAGTTTTGTTCTCTGGCTTCCATCATTCTTTACTTTAGCTTTAGCTTAAACTTAAGACCACCCAGCACTAACATGTACAGACTGCAGGTCCTTCCTTAAAGACAAAGTTCTTAATTCCGTTTGACGAAAACAAAAAAGGCATACATAAATAAAAAAAAATAAAAAAAAATCAATAAAATCGTCCCTTAAAACCATAAAAAGCTATCGCTGCAGTTTTAGTACGACTTGTCCAAAGTTTGTTTAAACACACAGTGGGGGAGGTCAAGATGACCTCTGCTCGTGCATTAGCTGTCCACTGTGTTGGAATCCAAAACACAATAAGCATCATTCATACGACTGATCTAAATCTAGGCAAATTTAATCACATGACAACAGATTTCATTGGACTTCACCACTTCTCTAAGTTTGTCGGAACATTACAATGTTGGCATTACACAATAGTGATGGTGTCTCAGGTACTCCATGTACAAAAAACCCCCAGTAGCAACCCAAAAAAACAGCAAAGAAAATGATTATACTGTAGCTGTTGCATAAACATACAATTCTATTGGATCAGTTGGTCGTCCTCCTCAGAAAAGAGGGCGGGTTTAGTACTGAGTTTTTCTAAAACAAGCTTAGATATCACAACCTAATGCTTCGAAGAAATACTGTATAGAAACCTATCTGGGGGTTTACTAGCTAAAGTTAAAGGTGCTTAAGAAACTAGAGGATAAACGCAGTACAATAAAAAACAAAAATCATTCGTATTTAGATGTAAAGCCACAGAGAAAATTTGGTAATGGTTCCATCAATAAATAAGTTACTTTAATGTCATTCTATGTACAACTCTAGCCCTGGTTGAACTTTAACTGAACTATGGATTATGACCATTGAAGATGGTGTATAAAAAATATATCCAACTCTACCTCAGAGAAACTCTTTAAATGTGTGTTCAGAAGAGCGTACTGACTGAAAATGGGGTAAAGAAATATTTTTTGATGACTAAATTTAGAGACATTTAGCTTGGGTACTTTAAGTATCCAGCAAGCAGAAAGCGTGGTTCCAAATCCAGTATGGAAATATCTGGGAATAACTATCAAAACGCAACACTGCCGCACAACAAAACGATTGGTATTTGTTCAGTATGCTATAGAACAGGGCCCTCTGCATAAATAAATGTGATAAACTAGGGATAACTCCATCTAATCCGAACCCAACCGAGATCTACAAAGTTACCGCTGTTTACAGAGATTTGGAAGCAAAGGCACATCGTCATTGAACTGAGGGAACATAAGAGAGGCTATCTGGACTGGGAACTGAAGTGTGGCACTCTTCCATCATGTCGGCTCTCTCACGATCTCTCATTTCAAAAAGGTGAAGAAGAAGAAAAAAAAGAAGGGAAAAAAAGTGTGGGAAGCACCCAACTTCCTGTGAGGCTGACAAACAAGGAGTAGCTCAAAGGGCCCCCCCCTGGTGGTGGAGACTTGTGATGTTTGGTGTTTTTTTCCCATCATCCTGCACTGTAGAGTTCTGTCCACATCACACACCCAGGCCTGCCCGGATGAGGGGTTACGCATTTCAGCCAGGGGTTCATGAGTAAAACGGCTGGAGTGAAGTCTGTGCCTTTCATTTCTTCCTGCCACCCACCATCTTCCCAAAATTCCAACCCAGACCGCCTTGTCCAGCTTGCATATCACCAAAAGAACTCTCAGCTCTATCTAAAAGGCACCTCCTGCCCATCCTGTTAGGGTCTGCGGTCAGGCCTCAAACCCCTACTGGTCCACGGAAGGAACAGAGGTCAGAGGTCATACGAAGACTTTGGCGAGGGCGTCGGCACCGGCGCTGCCGATGTAGCACTTGGTGGGGTGGAACGCCACGTCGTTGATGGACTCATCAAACTTCTTCCGGTGAGCTGTGAACTCCTGAATGCACGTCTTGCTCTCCATGTTCCACAGGCGGATGGAGCAGTCGTGACCTGAGAGTGCGAGTTTTTCAGTTAGAGAACTGAGGCCTTATGATATGAAAGATACAAAATTATTATCAAGGTTCATGACTGAACTCCATCTACACATTAGAAAAGAGACAAAACCTGCATTAGGCAGTGAATACTTACTACCAGACATCAGGTAGAGCCCATTGGGGTCCACTGCTAGACTAGTCACAGCATCCAGGTGGGCCACCATGGAGTGAATCAGTTTGCCTGAAGACAGAAGGAGTTTTTACATAGACTTATAAAAATAAACCTTAATTTGCTTCAATCTGCTAATAATTCCTTTCAAGATGATGTGAGTATTCTACTTGAAAAGTACTATAAATACTGTATACCAGGAGATCGCGAGTTCGATCCCCGGTGATGCTACAGCCATCCGTGGCTGGCAGCCCAAGAGAGCACAACTGGCCTCACTCTCTGGGTGGGTAGGATGCCCCCCAACTTCTTCCCCATCACAGAGCGCGATGCTAGTCAGCACAGACGTCTACTGGCTGACGTAACAGATCTGGCAGTTGACACTTTCCTCCGAGCGCATGTGGCTGTCTAATGACGTAGCAGCAGTTTGAAAAGATGCGGTGGCTTTACAGGTCTCTGGGGAACCCTGTGCTTTCACTCTCCTAGTGCTGGTGGTATTGTGTGACAGGGTCCTAACTAGTAGGTGGAATTGGACATGACTAAAATTGGGGGCATGTACTTTGGGAGTACCGTGACACTTTAGACCTTCCCAGATTAGAATATTGAGCTGGACAGGGTTCATATTCTTTGTACCATCTTCTGATGATCGTGGTGTACAGAGCTTTTGGGAAAGAGCTCCAGACTGGGTTGGTGTTACCTGTGTTGTTGTCGAAGAAGCGAATGTGGCGGTCCTCCTGTGCTGTGATGGTGATGGGCAGTGTCGGGTGACTCAGCACCTTATTAATCTGATGAGGAGCATCTGAGAAAAAAAAAAGGTGGAGTGGGATACCACCAGGTAAATGAAGTCTGTAGTTGAGTGAAAGTAGAAATACATATGCTTGGTAAATAAAATACTATTACTACAAAAGTAGACGTTTCCTATTTGAGTCCATTTGGTATTGTTTTGTTGGTCGATTAATAATTAGGTGACTTTTAGTAAAAAATCAGGATAATAATTTCTTATGTGGGAACAGCCCTAAATTGTACACACATTTTGCCTATTAGTTGCGATGGATATCTTAAATTTTTATGGCTGCTGCTTAAACCATTTTCTGCTACTCCCCTATTCCATCTCAAGCTGTACAGTAAGTAACTTCTTCACAAGGGGGCACTAAAAGAACTCAAATCACTTTTGTATGTCCTTGTTACACTGTATATGTATTTGGACTGCATTTTGTATTTTCTGTTGCCAGAATAAATTCCCCGTATGTGAACTTTACTTAGCTAATAAACAGTTCACTGGTCTTCAGGGTGGTTTTGTGAGGATACATCTGGTGGCTGTAATGTACCTGGTTCCCCTGCAGTCTGGGACTCCAGCTCCAGCACCAGCTGCCGCGTCTCCATGTTAAAGATGCCCATCCTGCCATTGCTGAAGGCGGTGACCATATGAGCTGGCTCACTGCACACTAAGTCCACAGACGAGGGGATACCCAATTCTACCATACACACACACACAAATACACCAGAGTGAGGGACAGCAACCTAGAGAAAGACACACTAGACTACATCTCAGGAACATTTCAGTATTGTGATATACTCTGTCAATAAACAGGCAGGTTAACAGGGTGAAATAATCAAGCTGTTAAGTCACATTACAACACTCATGTAACATGAAGCTTTTGGTGGAAGCTGCCTAGAAGTAGTGTTTAAATAAATGAGGCCTGCCACATGTGTTTTAGAGTACAGGTAAGCTTTAAATGATGATCAAAAAACCACCATCACCACAAGTACCATCACTATGTCCCCTTACAGTTTGGTCAATCATGACACGTTTTTATGTCTAATGAAGCCAGACATGACCTTGTAATGAGAATATATGTCTGGGGTTAAACACTTGGTGCTGGATTCTGGCGAAATCAGCCACAAATAACCCAGCCCCCTCTTAACCCAGCCTCCAAAGTCCTCTAGTCTAGTGCTCTTTCAATATTTAAAGTAACCAATAACATAAGCAAGCTGTTAAAACACTATCATTGGCCTATGGAGCTGTTTTTCCAGAGGTAATGTTTAAATGCATGTAATGTGTTCTAATGTGAGTTTTTTGAGGGGCCTTTTCAAGGATGCTTACTTATGTTACATCCATGAACCAATGACAGGAAGCTTGGACAATGTTGATAAATGCATCATCGCCCCCTTACTTTGAGCTCTGCTTTCACAAGGTGTTGTTTATGAATTTCATTCATACTCAGTTTGTTCTCACTCGGATAATAATAAATTAATTTCAACCCACATTTAGCCCACAATTTTTCAAGGCTGTCCCCAATATGAAACCATGTCTAGTCTTACATACTAACAGCTTTGCACTCAGAGCAAGGGAAAAAAAAATCTTGGCTGAATCTTCACTTTGTTACTACCTTTATTCTCGTTAAAGACAGCGAGAGCAGGCGAAGTGTCTGCAGCATTCCACAGCCGCACCGTCCCATCCGCTGAGCACGACAGCAGCCGATGGTGAGCCGAACTGTACACTAAACCCCACACGGCATCGGTGTGACCACACAGCGCCCCCCTCAGCACAGAGGGCTCTATTACAGAAAGAGGATGATGTAAGTGGATCAAGCTTAGGTATATCATATTCACACAGTCACTGAGTGAATCTTACGAGTCAGCATACCATAAGAGTCGTAGGGGTCAATGTTGGGATTTGGAGTGTTCCAGCTTTGAATGGTTGCATCCACTCCCCCACTGAAGCACTGTTCTCCATTACTGCTCATTACCACACACAGAACTGCACCCCTAAACAGGATAAGAGAGGGTCAACAACAATAAACAACAAATGCTTCATTCCAGTCAAGTGTTTGTGGACAAAGGAAAGGTATTAAAGCATTAATGCCTTATGCTTTATCATTCTGTGACACTTGGGATTTTACCAAGTAACTTTTCAAAGGTCTGTTTAGTGTGATTCTGTGCAGAGTTGAGTAAAGATGACAGTATAATTCATGCAACAAAAACAAAATCAAACTACCGCCAAACACACTGTCACAAGTATACTTAAAAAAAAGAATCTCAGTTAACGTCTTTCTCACTTAGCACTGGTGAAGGCTGTGCTAAGGTCTCAGAACAAAAATGTGGTGATTAGGACCAACCGCAGTCAGAAAAAGGTCTAGACTAGAACATATCGGTACATATCGACTAGAAACAATCATAGTCCGGTTAGGGGAGGGATGGTTTCAGAATAAACAATGCAGTGGTCCAAATCCCCAAATCTTACATAGAGCAGCTTTAGGTGGCCTACTGGCTCAAAGTGATGCTCAAAACGGCTTCTTATCCAAGTCTATGTTCAGTGCTGACTCACCTATGAGCTCTAAATGTGTAAATGGGCTCCACATCAAGAGCAGCACACCTTGGGAGAAAGAAAAAGAGAGCGAGGGAGAGAAAATATTATACAATTGGTCATTTGTACCCAGCATGCCAATTAACTCAGTATATTTCAAGGGGGCGACTGCTGCTTTTGGCTGCTAATAGTTCAGCAATAAATCAAATTTATCCAATTTTCCCCTTATTGCTAATGTGGCCGTTCAGCCCAAGCATGTTTGGTGTTCAAAATTTGCTTGCTACTACTGGTTTTTCTATGCTATTTACCTCTGTCCATTTGTATAGATTACAGTACATTATACAGTGTCGGAAACCAAACAGGCAAGTCTGTGGGATTAATAACACAAATCGTTTTGTGGCAAGTGTTTCATGATTTAGCCTTGCAGTTTGTAAGGTACTAATTGATGGTATATTATCTTTGACCTACTGCTTTAAGATCTAGCTTCAGTGAGAAAGGAGTTCATACTTCTTGGTGGGGGCTGTCTTCTGCAGGTTCCACATCTTCAGCGTGTGATCCTCTGAGGCTGTGACCAGCACCGGCTCTACTGGATGGAAGGCCAGACTGCGGATGGAGTCGAAATGGCTCCTCAGAGTAAACTTTGGATTCCACGTCTTCCTCAGAGCATCTTTGTTATTCGTGATCTGAAAGAAAATATGAATTTGGCTTAGCAAAAGGAAATACAAATGCATGTACACATTTAATAAGATGAAGGAAAGATCCATTTATTGAATGATCTGATGCACTTTACAGTAGATACCAATATGACAGGGTTCTATCTGGTTAATGACTTGGCTTGATTGTGTGTGTATGTGTGCACAGAAAGAGCAAACAACTGCAAAAGCCACCCTGATTAAAGCCCTGCCTGTGTATTGACATTTAGGCAGCCTAGCTTTAGCTATTTAATTCTGTATTTCATCTATACAGGCTGTTACGAATTGTTAGATCAACACTGAACTTGTTAGTTTTAGTTTGATGAATAATAAATCTGAATATCTTTGAGCCTTATAAAGATGACTTATTTGGTATGTACAAATGGAAGTAAATGCAGTTTGTATTAACTGAACATTATGGGCCAAATACATAAACTACACTGATACATTTACAGTGACATTAGTATTCCGGCTACACATTTGCTCATTCATAAATGAGGATAACTGACTTGCTTTGCAGTTTGCGTGACAATTGCAAATTTGCATGTGCCATTAGCATGTCGTAACAGGACGCCGCTTGGCAAAAAATTCCACCTAAACTAATCTAAAGGTAAATGTCATTGGTAAGAGTGTAGAGTGAATGATGTTTATGTTGCAAACTTCTTTAGTCACACATGCAATTCATTAACAAATTATGCTTGTACACCTACTTAGTTGACTTACAGCGTTCATACGGTCATGAAATTCCTGGAAAAGTAACAGAAATTTGGTTTTCCAGGCTTGGAAAAGTCATGGAATTTCCTGGACTTCCCCCATGTGGTTTGTCATCGTCACATTTAACACGCAAAAAGCACTCCAGACTAATGTATCTGCACATGGACTAGCTTCAATAACATGTTGTTAATATGAATCTCGGCTAGCTAAGTTGTAACATTCAGGACATGTGAAAGATGTTTTGACATTCAAACACTGGAGAAGATGAATTAACAAGTCAAATATGAGAGGAAAAAAAAAATCGCAGCTGCTTCTCACACCCAAGACCTGTGGGACCAGTCAAGTTATGATAAAATGCTAAACCCCTCTTTACAAACGTAACCAATTAATGTGTTTGCACATGAGAATATGTGATGAACAAAGAGTCAAACAAAATATATAGGATCTGAAATAATGAACATTAAAGTATTTAGCAAAATGACACATAAATATTAAAATTACACTTAGATACATTAGGTCTTTATTCCTCTTGTAATAACTGCTTATATGTTAAATTAGTGCTGAGCAGTTACTGATAAAATTCAATATCATGGTATTTTCAGACATAAAACAGTGCTGTCAGGTAATACTAAAGTTAATGAACTCATTCACTTTTCCAAATAAGCAGATGAGTTAAATTGAAGTCATCAAGGACTGCATACCATGATTAAAGGGCACAAAATTAAATGGTCCTCATGGAAAAGTCATGGAATTCCACTGGAGTAAGCAATATATTTAAATGTCAGTTTTAGATCTTTTGAAATAATCATTGCATACTAGAGTTGTTGGAGTAGAGAAAGCTTGAGATGGATTTCAGAGCAAATTAATAAAGTATTCAATGCTGAGCATTTCAAACATGTCTCAGCCAATCAGATTAAAAAAACAGATACTGATCGAAGACAGATATTTGGGTGCTTTTTCTTTCACTTTTCTTTCTTTTTTGTCCTGTCTCACCAGTCCCTCGACTGAAGTTCCTGTTATATTATTTACCTTTGTTTTTGTTATTGTTGCTGCTACTTTACCACTGCTCTGCTTTACGATTCTCTTTGCCATACTGTGTCCATTTTGGGACCCAGCATTGGTCATCAAAATGCATTAGCTCATTAATATATCAATACCACAGCAGTAAGGAAAGGCTGGTCTGCTGAACACTTCCACAGTGACTTTATGAATATGACTTCATTAAAGTGCAGCACATTTTTCTGTGGCATGGCACTGCTGCCTCTTGAGATTTATAACCCTGGCACAGTATATGTATTTACAGATTATGTACTGAATCTTGAACTGACTTCATATCCATGACTGATTTGGTTTGACTAAAAAGAAAAAGCATTCAAGATACCAAATAATAAAGCTGTATGGAGTTCTATGGATCTTAAAAGAATTTTGTTGTAGTAGGTAAGCTGTAGCACTTACGTCATAGGCCAGGCTCTCGGCTTCATTGGCCACAGTGAGACCAGCCAGCTCCCCCAAACCCAGCTCATTCTCCAAAGCTTCATCTGCTCCCATTATAAATGACTTGCCAGAGGAGGGAGGGAACGTAAGGGCTTCCACTGGAACATATACACAGACAACTGATCAGGAATATACAAATAATGAAGAAGCGCCTATGTATGCCTGAGTTACCCCTTGAAATAACAACAGAACCCGACAATTCAGGTTGGGTTTGCTCAGGTTGGGACATCATTTCTCAAATATCTCGAGTGAGGTTGAAATTTCATGTTTTCAAGACCCTCCTCCACTATAGGTTTTCCTCTCTACTTTAATCTTCCTATGGTTATGATGTCTACAAACAGGAGAATAATACCTTCATCAGCGCGGCCCAGATCATGCTCATTAAGCCGGGGGAGGCTGGGTCTGGCAGGGGGTGCCACCGGGGGCTGCATGGAGGGAAGATCCTCAGCATCTCTCAGATTAGCCAACATGTCCTGCAGCTTAGACCTGTTTGGCCCTGCAGAGAGAGAGAGAGAGAGAGAGAGAGAGAGAGAGACAGAGAGAGAGAGAGAGAGACAGAGAGACAGAGAGAGAAAGACAGAGAGAGACAGAGACAGAGACAGAGAGAGAGAGAGAGAGAGAGAGAGAGAGAGAGAGACAGAGAGAGAGGGACAATAAGATAGTGAGAGACAGAAAGAGGTGGGAGGAGAGGACATTTTGTAACTTTGTTATCCTCAATGTAAATACAGTCTACTGAATTCATTCTTTCTGCTTTTTTATGAAGAGTGAGATGGAGGCACTGCAAACAAGACAGAAATATTTATAGAAATCATAACAGGAGGAGTGAGAGTGTGAAGAGTGAGAGACCTTCTATAAGAGGTGAGGTCTGCAGCATTTTCTTTGCTTGAGGGTCAGAGTTCTAGTTATTATATGGCCACAGGGTGAAGCCAACACAAGACCACAACCTCTACAAAAGCTCCAACTCCTCTTACAAAGAGGAAAATTACAGTAAGGCTGGCTTTACACAGTGATACTTGCATGAAACTTCAGTTGGTTGAAACCTACATGAAACTACACTGCAATTGAGTTGCATAATGTAATTCATTTGGTAACATAAAGCATCTTTTTTATAAACTGATGGAAAACAAAATTAAACAGAAGATGGTTTATTTGACAACTGAAGATCCTGATTCACTTAAGGTGAAAGTTTCACTGTGTAGAACCAGCCTAGGACAACGAGAACATGATTAAAAGAAATAGAAGCATTAAGCATAGTCATGAAGTAAAAGTAAACCAAGGCAAAGAGAGAAATTAAGGTCAAAGAAGAAGAACCAAAGGAAAGATGATGCTGTCGTACATCTGTGCAGCAGAGGATCCTATAGATAGAAAAAAAAAGTAAAAAATGATAGGGACAAAATGAAAGGAAAGAAAAAACAAAGGACGGGTAAAGAGGGAGCAGGTGCGAGGCTTGCTTATTCCGAGCATGGCTGATTTAACGGAGAGCTGAACAGAGATGAACGAGAACAAACGCACGAGAGTGGAAAGGAGAGGGGGAGGCAGAGATGACAGCACAGCGGAGAATACAGATGGATAAAGGAAATGGCCTTTACAAAGAAATCCCATTAGCATGGTGCTGTCTCTCACACAAACATACACACACAGAGGGGGCTAGGAGCAAAATGAAGGTGTCACCAACACAAAGATACAGGAAGGGAAGAAGAGAGCTGAATGGAGCAGTGGCTGCTTTTTTTTTTTTTTTTAATTGAAGACTTTTTCAGAACGATGCCTTTTCAGAGAGAAAGAAGCGAAAGCCTGGCCCAACTTACTCTTCACCCCCTTTTTGCCCTTGCGTTCCTTCCTGTACTGCTCCTTGAGTTTAGAGATGAGGCCCTGGTCCACGTCCCAGGCCTCGGACATGGGGCTCTGCTCCTCCTTGTCTACACGGGGGGAGGAGGAAGACACCGTTCAGTCCCAGAGCATAAACGCCTGCTTAAGGCCACAATTCCCAGAGCCTTCATTTCAGTAGTTCAAAGCAATGCTTGTGCCAAAATTCAGATCTACACAGTTTCCTCCCTTACTGCCAATGCTGTTGATCAGTTAAGACATGTTTGGTGACATTTGCCTCAAACCATGTAGAGTATCAAGTCTCAAATTCTTATGGTTTCTTATGGTTTCTGACGCAGTATTGCATACTGTTGCAACAATATGATACCGTATATAATGTATATGCAATGTATATACATCAAAACTAGTATAAAACACTTCACTTAAATACAGTATCGGTATTGTCAATAGAGAACACCAAGACCATGAAGCAGAGCTTATCTGAAGCAAGCAACATGTGGGCAGTGCTGGATTGGTTTACGTTTGAGACAACTAGTAATAAAAAAAAATGCTAATTGAAAAAAATCCATAAAGCAAGGTGGTCTCGGGGCCTGATACTCGCATCAAGCTGAGAATCCGTGACTAAACAGCTGCTACTGATAGTGTGAATGATGGCACTGTTAACTCCAGCAGAGTCTGACGCTTAGGCTACGTTCACACAGCAGGTAAAATCTTATTTTTTCACCAAATCTGGTTTTTGGTTGGGCTGTTCACATTATCTTTTTAATGTGACCTGTTTGAGACATTAGTCTGAAAAGATCACACTCCAAAACCAACCCGCATGCGCAAAAGAACAATGCTTCACGTTGCTTTAAGTGGCTCATCCAGACTGCCAACCGACGCCAGTTGCTCCCGGAAGGTTCAGTTTCACCTTTGCCAGTGTCACAGGAGCGATCACGAAGTTCCAATGGTTGTCAGCTTGGCTCATCACCCAGAATGTGTTGGAGCTCACCGTAAAAACGGCTTCGTCACTTCTTTGGTTCGTGTCCTCAGATTCTTTAAACTTTGCTTTCAGACTTTTAACTGTTACTTGACGCTGCAGCCTCGTTCTCCTCCGGCCGCATTTGGCCATTTCTTTCAATATCTCTTTGAACACGGAGTGGTTGCGTTAAGTGCCGTCTAATGTTTTGGTTCAGAAACATCAGCATAAATGTTTATGAAATCTCAGCAGCAAGAAATTATGACGAATGTCAAGCTGGATTGACGTAAAAGTCGCATGAATTCTGATCTGGATGTTTAGGCTGAGTCAAGTTGCCGCATATCGGATATGGATCGGATTTCAGTACCAAATACGAAAGCGTCTCAAATCGGAATTAAAAATGTCAGATTTCATTTTTTGCTGTTCACACTGCCACACAATGTATGTGATGCATGTACAAGACAAATGACTATGGAAATTTAGACGTGAACCTTTGGCACTGTTTTTGCTGAGCCAGAGTAACCACTAATGCGTACACACAACAGGTTTATGATTATATATAATGTTCACTTCTATTTTTACTATTTTGAACAAGTGGAAATATTTTACATTTACATATTGTTTAATATGGTTCTGAGTAAAAGTGAAGGGGCATTCTTGAATAATCAGCACACTGCTATTGCTGCTGACGGCGGCATAATTTTCCATGGCTGCTGCAAATCAGATGGAATGTCATAATGTAATGCAGCATTAGTTTGCATGGTGCTATCAAATTAGGTTATAGGCATTCATTACTAGTTGGCCACATTAGCTTCATAGCTCCAAAAAGCAAACTTCCAAAAACTAAACATGTCTTGGCTGATCGACTTCATGTGGGGTAAAGGTTAAAAAGGTGTAATCTGATCTTTCACTGAACCACCGCTTTAGATTTTATATGGGCAGGGAACAGTAACTGCACTCCTCATCCTGCAGTGCTTTAAAGTAGAAAAACACTAAAACCGATGAACTTACATACCCAAGATGCTTTCAGTTTTTCATATACGCTGTGAAATAAGACAGTGGTTTCCAGTCCTGGTCTTCAAGAACATCTGCCATGTACATTTTGGAAATTTTCCTGCTATAATCAACCTGACACAACTAATCAGCTAATTAACAAACCGAGTTGCAGTAGCTATATTAGAGTACGGAAAATCTGCAGGATGTGGGTACTGCTGGACCAAGACTGAGACCTCATGAGCAGATTTTTACTGATAACGCACTGTAAACCCCACATATCGTGGCAGTTACTGGACTTGACCATATTTAAAAATAAAGGCCAGCTGTTGTAATTCAGCTACAATCTCTTCAGATATTGCTCCTTCTTTCTTTAAGGATTTGCACCAATTACTGATCCTGAGGACACATGAGGAACTCAGAGGATTTCTGGGAGAAAAATCACTTCAAAAACACGAATGGAAAGACTGAGGGACAGATCAGTGGGCTGCTACAGTACGATACAAACTGCACACTCTAAATACAGAGTGTGCGGGGACACAACTCTCATAGGGGGGAGAGACAGAGGAGACAATTTAACACAGCCTGACAAGACAGTGCACTCCAGACATCCAATACACGTTCACATTAGATGCCTTGCAGCCATCCTGAAAATAAAGACTGCACTCAATACTTCTAGGTTAAGAAGTTCATGCATTACATAAAGGAAAGTGTATTGTGTGCTAAAGTGCATGGTGCTGGGAGAAACAGTGCAAACATAGGGCACAAAATAAAAATTAGATTTTTTTTTTGAAATAGGAACCTGTATATCCACTGCACTGTCCTTTGAGAAGTCCCAAACTAAGCTTCTTAATAATCTCTTTTTAATCCTTTAAAACCTGGGCTTTTCTAGTTAGATACTTATGTGGTAGTTGAATACAGACAACAAAACATATACCAAGCTTTTTCTTTGTATTTCTGAAAATAGCCCTAGCTTTCTAAAATAATAATACTTATATCATAAGTACAGGGTAAACACAAGCTTTATAAGATTTATGCATTTTGCTGTTGTCAGAATAAAACTCTCCATTTTTAATGTTTTTAAATTTTTTACATAATTTGAAAAAACCTGTTTTCCCTTATCTTGTTTGTAAATTTCTTGATGAAAGGACCAAAAGAAACGGCCCAAGTTTGGTTCCATTGACTTACATTAAAAGTAAAGTATGTTTTTTCCTTCTCCTGTAAAGTTATCAGTTTGGAGATACAAGGTTTTGTTCCAACAACAGCAATATGTCATTCTACCCTTGCGGTGGCAAATGATGTCTGACAACTTTAAAGCCATTAAAATGAACTCAAAATAATAAACAGGAAATTGATGTGCCTGTTCTGTTCCTACATTAGCCAACAAAACTATGGAAATTCTTTTTTTGGATTTTTTATTTTAGCGATCACGTTGTGCATGAAAAACAGCAGGTGATTTCACCGATGCAGAAGTATTATTTTTATGTGAAACAACAATTTTGATTCCTGTTTTTCAGTTTAAAGTTATTTTAAATACAAAAATATCGTTTCACTTTAACAATAAATCTTTTCCTAAGAAAGAAAGACTCCATAGTTAGTGGAATCTCTGGCTAAATTACTGATAGCTTCAGAAGTCACAAAAAGACTGTCCGTGGTGTTGCTCATGCAAATTGAAATAATGTTAATGCAGCATTTGTGATTTTCTACATACAACTTGACTTCAAATGTAGCAGTGAACTCTATTCTAGAGAAAATATTTTTTTTAGAATTTTGTCAGGAGTGATACAGCTTTCAATATAACAGACTACATATTACACTTGAATTACATAACATTCATACTCTGCTTGCCACTGCACTGGTAGAATGACCCACATCATGATGCATCAATGCATTTTTACACCTCTACTGTGTACAGTTGTTTGCAAAAGTTTTTATTGTTTTGTTGATTTTCTAAGTGAAAATAAGTTAAGATACACACTTAAATAATGCATTTTTTGCAAATTTTAGTGCATAATTTCTATTTATTTGTCTAACACATTGGGGGAAAAAACTTTTGCACAGGCCACATTTTATCCCTCCCAATGTATAAAATTCAGCAAATAAACAGTAATTATGCATTAAACTGTGCAGTAATGTGCACTCTGTGGCATGTTCACTAAGAAAATCAACAAAACATATGACTGGGGCGCTCAAACTTTTGCATACAGCCGTAGTCATGAGAATGAAGAACTGAAGTGTGGGTCCACATACTTTTGGTTTAATTAGTAATTTTTATATATTTAAAAAATGCACCGCGTACATAGACAAGATGCACAGAGAACAAGAATAAACTACATTACCCACAATTCTCCACACATACATTTCTGGTCCCATTTCAGTTGGTGCTTAGCACAGGTGCCCCAGTCTTACCCCAGTCAGCCGTATCTCCTGTGCCAGGAGACTCTGATGACCCTTCCATGTCCTCACTGCTGGCCAGGAAGTCAAAGCCCTTCAGAGCCTCCTCAGTATCCGGGTCATCACTCAGGTCAGCTGAAGAGGAGGAGGGAGATGCGGACACCTTTTTCCTCACCATTTGCTGGATAGTGAGAGAAAGAGGAGAGGGTTGGGGTAGTTTGGTGGAACATGTTGAGGCACTGTCAAATCAAATCAAGTACTAATGAGTGTGTGGGAGTGTATTCAGCATAACGCACTGTGGCCAGGTCTATGATGGTCTTGTCCCTCCCTTCACTGTCTTCTTCATCATCCTCATCACTGAACTCCGCTGCTGCGCTCTCGATGAACTTAAATGCCTCCAGAACCGTTGCAGAGTCAGACATTTCTGGTTTCCTGAGAAGAGGAAGCGACAAACTATGAAACATCTATTAAAAAAAAAAAACTGATAAAATAAACAAAAAAATGATCCTTAATTATCAAGTATCTTACAGTAAATATAGTGATACAGGAACAGTGGTCTGTCTCAACTTAGGGTTCCTAACTAAGTTTCAACTTTACAAAACCTAACAAATGGAACTGCGGTTAACTTGTTTTCTCTGTTAGGTTTAGATACTCAAGCTAGGATGAAAAGCTAATCGCATGAAACAAAGAGGTCAAAATAATTCTACATAAATATGCAGAAAGGAAAGCATTTACAATGGTAAAAAGCAATATGGACTGCCACTTAGTGCTTACTGAAATACTAACTGCTTTAAATTCTTAATATCTACGTAGACTCATTCGCTTCATCTGCTAAAAAACAATCATCTATAAGTGACTGACGCCAGGGATCCTCCTCTGCCAATGCTTGATTGGAGCTGTTGATAGTCTGAAATGCTAAACTCAACCTGCCCTGGAGGAGATCAGACATGCAGCATAAGCTGCCATGGTGAAAAGTGATGCACTGTCATCAGACAGAAAATCCAGGTTTAGATCGAACTTAAAGATAGCTGGCTAAGCAAGAAATCCTGCTTCGTGAGACAGGACCTAGTTCAGTGTGACAATATTTATTTTTAAATTATGTGAGCAAATATTCCGTTCCTACACAGCTGAATAATTTATGGTTGCTGGATAATAAGCTTGCAGTTTCAAAGAGAAGGTTTAGTAATTTTACACAATTTTCTCTTTAGCCCAAATGTCTAATCCAAGACATATTTGATGTTCAAAGTTTGCTTCTTTAGTTGTGGACTGAAGCTACGAGGCTAACGCATCTAACAAGCGATGGAAGCTTACAGTGTGCAAACTGCACACCTAAATCATCAAACTCATCTCAAACTACACTGAATTTTTCAGTAATCGCAACGAGACTTGCTTATGTGAGACTGTATAAACTGTTCTCAATGAAAATGGACAAAATATACACAAAATTCACACTTCAAGATGCTTACTTCTGCTGTTTTAAGCTATGTGATGTACTTTTGTCTATTTTTTTTGATAACAGTATGCCTTACAGTGTCCAAATGCACACAAGCAAATCTATTTGAGATTAACAAACAACTTGACAAGCAAACCCAAGACATCAAACATGTCCCCAAAGGGACATCTTTCCTGTGCTGGAGTTGTGTTTTCAGAAATAGTATTTTGAGGTAAGTTCATTTAACAGATAATGAGGCTAAACTACACATTGTTTTTTTATGAGTGAAAAAGACATAAAAAGGATTGATAAACTACTAATAAAAAGTAAATAAAGTAAATGCAGTGAGAAAAACAGCAAAATGCAGTTTGCATAAGCTTCTTGTTAGCTACACTGGCCTTGTAGCTGTGGCACAAATCTCAAGAAGCAAATATCAGACACCAAACATGTCTTGCCAGACTGGACATTTGACTGACCTTGACTGATCAAATACACATCAGATATAGAAGGGAGAAATTGTGTTAATTTATTCTTGGCTGATAAATTCTTTTGAAAGGTTAAGATTTAAAAAGCAAAAACTGATCGTGTATCGAAGCTCTCAGAGGTTTTGAGAAATACTGGTCTAATGAGTGTCAGGAAAATAAAATAGCAAAATCAACATTGCTGATTCTCTCTATGAATGGATCTATGTCTCTCCCTAACTCACCCCATCATGGTGGTGGTGCTATCCTTCAGCGATGAGGGCTCTGTGCCGTTCACCATGGGCTCTGGCCTCCGCTCCCCGGGTCGCTCTCCGCTGTCCCCGGCCAACCCCAGCAAAGCCTTCACCCGCTGTGACTTCACATCCAGAATCGTGTCCGTGTAGCCCACCTCCTGGAGGTACCTGGAGAAGGAGAGAGAGTTCACCCAAGGGACAACTTTCATGAGCTATAGTTGAGGTGAACTGCTGCCCTTTAACATACAATGAGGCTAAACATCTTGTTTTCTATGTGTGAAAAAGACACATAAAGAAGACAGCTAGCCTACTGCACAGCAGGTGAGAAAAAGTCCAGAGGAAAAAAGCGAGCTCTCAAGGTCGAAATCATGAAGGCCAGACACCAAACTTCATTACAAAAACCGCATGCAGCAATAATCTCTATAACATTGATATACAGCACTACAAAAAAAAAATCCACTCAGTAACTCATGTTAAGCCCTTGCAAAAAAAAAACAATTCAACTGCATCAATCATTACAAGCGTTTCCATAAATGAGAACCACTCATAACGTACCTTGTGCTGGCTTCTCACAAAACCCCCCAAAAAAACTAGTCAGCTATCCTCTGTGAAACTTCCCTCTAGTTCTGAGTTGCGGCTCTATAAGCTGAAGAATTCGATCAGAATCTTTAGGAGCCAGCTTTAAGAAAGAAAACGGGCTACAGAGGGGGAGGGAAAAAAAAACAGGAGAAAGAAAAGCGTTCCGTCTCTTGCTGTACCAGTCTCTCCAGGCACAGGAAGGCTGAATGCCCCAACACAATTCTCCATTCATTCTCCTTCACTGTCTCTGACACTGTGTTCTTCTCTCTCTCTCTTTCTCTCTCTCTCTCTCTCTCTGTACAGCTGTAATGGCAGTGGCCTTCATGAACCCATTTAACAGTAGGCAGGTTTCCCTTTGACAGATTTTCTCCTTAAAACGTTTTAATGCTTTGAAACCTCTGACAAAATATGCCAAGAAAACATTAAATCATTAATATTTTAATTTTTTTTTTAATATTAAACTATTTTCCATTTGAATTAGTAAATAAACAGTCAGTACTATAAATGCTGTGAAAAATAATACACATGGTTTTGAATCAAGATTAACTTAAAACGGGTTTAATGTCATACATATTCAGAACACAGGCCATTCAAAAATACAATGAAATTCTTATACTACAGAAGCATGCTCCTACAGATAAAAAGGACAGATAGAAATAATGCAATTGTTCATAAGTTTAGTGTCATATGACGGGCTTTTCATCATATAGCTCTCCCACAACAAACCAACCAAACAAACCACAGCAGGATGGCGACAGAGCAGCACAGCCAGGCTGAGGAGAAGACAATCTTTCTTAGTTTAATTCTAGAAAACATTCTGACAACCGTATTTGACAGGAAACATCAGAGAATTGCAACCGCCTTTCAGGATTAGCAGAAAAAGAGATGCATAAAAAGCAAAACAAGATATGAAACATGAGACAAAACTGCCCAATATTCACCAAAAAATTGCCCAAAAAGTGCCCAATATTCACCAAAATAAACATGATAAGAAAATGCAACCAACTTTTAAAACTGTACTTTGGAAGTGTAGAAAAACATATCTGCAGAGTTCTTTGAAAACAAGCCTCTTGAAAAGGAGGAAAACTGTAATAAAGACAATGTGTGGCCACACTTAACAGTGAAAAAAAAAGCATCTTTTTTTTCCCATGATGCTGGAAAAGTAATAATTTCCCTCTAATGGCCGTTTTGACTGGGTATTAAATAAATGAAGGGTGGTCCCCTATATTTGCACAGCACTGTGTGGTCCCTATCTTTTTTTTTTTTTTGGCTTCTTTGCTGCACACGCCCACCACACAGTGAGTGTAGAGATAAGGGAGTAGAGGCTGCTGTTAGGCCTCAGTGTGCTCCTCATTCACTGCAGGGCACAGATACACACACACTCACACACGCACACTGCACCTGTTGGAGTTAGACTAGCCCCAATGCTAACTGCTTCCCTGCACCCAAGCAAAGGACATGAAATAAATGGGTGCTCTAATGAAGCCAGCAGGCTGGAACAGCTGGATTAATGTTTAGCGTGTTCTCATTTGTCACTGGTGCGTGACGGATAGCGGTGAAGGGCATTCTCATACTGTCTTTGTGTAAACTCATGGACACGTAAGTGCATTCAGTCAATCTGGCTGATTCCCACAGCAGCTTTGTGTCAATTAATCGCTCTGTGTCCAACTAAAAGTTTTACTGCAAACTTTCGAACAACAGTTTGGCCAAAAATCTAATTTTACACAATCCCCTTAAATCCCTGCTTATGCAAAATGTGGTTGATCAACCAAAAAAACCAAAAAAAACAAAACAAAAACAAAAAAACAGCTATTCACAAAATTTATGTATGCTATGTTTATACTTCTTAAAAATTGCTCTGCATAAAGTTTTCACGGATAACTAATTAGTTCACTTAGGCTAACCTAGCCAAAGTGCACCATATGGCCAAAAGCACAAGGACACTTGATCATCACAAAGTTGGAAGCATATAATTGCCTAAAACTACTTTCTATGTTGTGGCACTAACATTACTCTTCCCTGTAACTACGCAGCCTGGCCTAAACCCCGAAAAACAGCCACAGACAATTATCCCTCCTCCACCAAACTTTACTGTTAGCACTATGCATTCCAGTAGATAGCGTTCTCCTGGCATCCACCAAAACTAGATTCGTCCACTGCACCACCAGACAGTGAAGCGTGATTCATCACTCCAGAGAACACGTTTCCAAAGCTCTAAAGTCCAGTGACGGTGTGCTTTACACCTCTCAGTTGACACTTGGTTTTACTCATAGGAATCTTAGGCTTGTGTGCAGTTGCATGGCCTGCTCTGTGAGTTTGCATGGTCTACCACTTCATGGCTAAGCTGTTGTTGCTCCTAGACACTTCTATTTCACAATACTAGCATGTAAAATTGACCGGGGCAGATCTAGCTGGGCAGAAAGACTTGTGGCATAGGTGGCATCCTTTGACAGTGCCATGCTTAAAGTTGCTGAGCTCTTCAGAAGAACCCATTCTTCTGCCAATGTTTGTCTATGGAGACTACCTGGCTGTTACCTGTTAGCAATGGGTGTGGTGGAAACACCCAAACTCAATAAGTAAGAGGTTCACATATTTTTGGCCATATAGTGTAGGTGTACACAGTGGTGAGCTGAAGTCAGTAATGGCATGCTTTTTTTAAAAAAAAATAAATAAAAAAAATAAAAAAAAAGTACTACACATCTTCCTCAACTTGCATGGAGTTGTCTATAAAAGTGGGCAAAACTAACTTGGCCAACTATAAACAGCAGCAGCCGCTTTAGGTCTTAACTCAATAGTCTTGGATGTGTTATACATAACAGGACGTCACACAGTGTCAGAAACCACACATGCAAGATGAGATTGCTAAACAACTTGATGCAATAACGTGTGATGATTTAGGCACAACATTTAGACGATGCCAACGAATGGTTATTAACATTCATTGCTTGTTAGCTACGTTAGCCTCATAGTTCCAGTGCAAAACTAAATAAGCAAATGCTGCACACAAAACACATCTACATCTGGGGTAAGGAGTGCATTGAGTAAATGGCCAAACCATCACATTTCATACCAGCACCATTTGGACCTGTTTGAGGCACTTAAAACGAAGCTCTCATGAACAGATGATTCTGATGAACAGCTCTGACTATTGTGAGCTCTGCTTCAGTGCTTAAAAATATACTAGGCCTAATATGGTTATATGCACTAAAGTGATGTTTGAGTACTAATGCTGTGTACTATTTACTCTGCGTGTTTTTCTTTCTCCTTTATCATAAGTCAAATGAATCCTTTATCCAGAGGGCATCCAGCAGAGCTGGAGCTTGTGACAACCAGCTGGACAGGTGTCGTCAAGGCATCATATGAGAAACATGATGAGCTGGGTCGCAATACTCATGCGACGCACATTCAGCATGTGTGACTGCATTAAATGGTATAGCCAAAAATCTAATTTACACCATTTGTCTAGTGTGAATTGGATGCAACAGCCTAGGCGCGCAGGTTATTAGCCATGTGCACCGAAAGTGCAAAATGCACTTCATGCATATGCATTTACGGGAAGACGGCACCAAAAAAAGTGGGTGGAGATATTACATGTGCAGCTGACTACATATTTAGCTCAATTTACAAAAGTTTGAGCAACTCATAATGGAGGTAGAGGAACTTTCTCCACCTTTTGAAACAAAAAGGTGTCTCAACAGCATGTTGTTTGATGACTTTCTTTAACAATGGCAGCAGACACAGCAGCTAGATTGAGACACAAGTCTCGAACACACGCTGAAAGAATAAAAACTGACAGAATAACTATAAATACCTTTTACACATACGCAAAAGAAACCATGATGTGGCCACAACATACACACTCCGTCTGTGTTATTGTTTCACAAACTCTGTTTTCTTAGATCTAGAATTAAACTGAGTAGAATTACACCACTACAGAATGTTTTGGTGGGGAAGAACACGACTACCTCTGTCAATTAACTTTTATATTCTTTTTTGTCTAAAGCTTCAACACACAAGCACACAGTAAGTAGGCCCTACCAGCCATAGTAAATCAAAAGTTCATTTCAGATGCCTTGTGGATCGGTATCGGCACAGATACAGCCCCAAAATATGATTGAATATGAAATACTGGCCCAGTGTGATTCATTAAAAAATTTCTAGCTTACAAAAATTTCTTTAAATATATACATCAAGTTTTGGTATAAACTCTTTAGTTATATAGACCATTCTATTCTATCTATAGTTCAAACTGCTATTCTACAGTAAAACTATTTAAAAAAAAACAAGTATTCAGACCTTTGACATTTACAAGGATTATATTATGATCTGTTCAACCCAAGGCATTAAGGCAGTAATATGCTAAATATACACAAAATCATCATAATATAAGGTAGTTCCTGTTGTAAAATTGTAAAATGTAAAATTGTAAAATGTAAAATTATGCTTGTGTATTTTTCTCAATTATTTTTTTTTTTTTAAGATCTTTTTGATTTCTTTTAAAGTTGAAAGATTTTGGCTTATTGTTAGTTTAATTTTTAAATAAGTAAACTTTTATTTTAAAAAATGTTGTCATATGTTTTCACATCACTACTGAAACACAGAGTTTTAGTCCATAGGTGGAGCCTTATTTTAGCCACAGCCCTGCATTTTAGAGCAGGAATAAGACTGCATCCCTGTCCCTTTTGGCCACATAGTGAACACTGTTTTGAAGTAAAAGTGTCCTTCCCAGTCTGAAAATCAGAATTGTCATATTTTCTGCAATTAAGTAAACATTTTTTGTGTTGAAATGAAAAATACTATGATTTTTTGTTTGTACAACTACTCAAAGCTGTGTTTGCTGGTCATGTACTGGCTCGTGATTCTGAGTTCTACTCAAACTTGGCTACAATTGTCACTACCGAAACATTTGGTAAAGTTTCTGTAGTGACATAAACATAATAAAGGCAGGAAGTCATTCAAGGCAAAAGTCTGTAGTCTGTTAAAGCATTTCCACTTAGCCTGACAGATTACCTGAGGAATATATTCAAAGAGTCTGATTATATCATAGGGCCTTTACAGAGGGGCTTATTTTAGCAACACTTGTTCAAGTCTGTGTTGTGTGAGAGAGAAAGAGTTCACACACCCCGGCAGTGCTGAAGAGCACTTCTTAGTGGTAGGAACAATCAACATTACATAATGCGCAAGTTCCTCTAACTGCCTACCCGGGGGCAGGGGCGGTCACCAAGGCCCTGCCTACATCTGAGCACGTAGCAGAGCGTGTGGAGGTGTGGGAGTGTGCTCTCTGCTCTGCACGTCTCTATGTGGGAGTGTACTACACTATGTGCTTGTGCTTGCGTATGGGTGTGTGAACATGCATAAGCTCGCTTGAATATAAATGACTGGAGTTTGATGTCTGAGGCTGTGACTGAAATGGATCCCTATCGTTTTAGGCCACTATTAAGTATGTCTTTTTTCTGTTAGAGTTTGAGGGAACACAATGCACTCGTAATTTGTAGTGAACACTGTAGATCACTACATTAGCTGAATGGGGACTAATGTGCTTTAAGAGTTTCTTGGTACTAGTGATGCACCAATTCAATACACTGGACCGATTTTGGCACCGTTACTGACCCTATTAAGTGGATCGGGTATTGGCCAAACATGACCAATCCACTATCAGTACTGTTTCTTAGACACAATCACTCTAAAATGGAAGAGTGACATTTCAAAACACAATAAACATCTAATTCTCACTGTGTTGTTCTAAAATGGAACCGAATGCTGTACATACAGGCAATAACTACGAATGATCACAGGCAGATATATAGCTGTGTCCCAATTCAGAGGCTGCATCCTTCGGAGGCTGCATTTGAAGGCTGAGTGCGTCACAGCGTCGCGACTGGGCTGTCCCACTTTGAAGGCTCTTATATGCAGCTGAGAAATGTGTCCTTCTTCTCCATGACAAAGAAGGATCCAACGGGTGGATCTTTCGCCAGCCAACATAGAGAGAAGCATCTCCAGCTCAAATAAATGAACAAATAAAAAAACTAAATCCACGTTTCTGGCTCCGTCTGTAAACAACTTTAAAATAACTTGACAGGAGCGGCGTTTCGTGATGCAATGGTAAGGGTGGGAACAGCGGTGCTGTGACGCAAACAGGAAATCCGCCGTAGAGCAAAACGTCTCATTATGGTTCAGCCTTTGTGGGTCTACGCAGCCTTTGAAGGATGCGCCTTTGTAGACCACGACCTTCAAAGAATGCAGCCCCTGAATTGGGACACAGCTAACGTTTCTTTGCAAATGTGAAATGTGTCATGCGTTTCTCTATAAAAGTGCCACAGTGTGTCAAAATAAAAGCACCTTTTAAGAGAGCATGACATAATAAAAGCCCTGTGCAGGAGGGCTTTTCAGACATGTATGTGTTTATCAATTTAATGGAGACTAAAAAATGTAAATTGTTACATTTTTTAGTGATTTTGAGATAATAAGGTGGGACAAGGTGAGAAGAATATAGCTAAATATGAAATAATTGTCCAGTGTATCCGATTTTAAAAATCTCTAATTACAAATAGATTAAAAACATATTTTGGAACTAACTTTTTTTAACTGTAACAGCACATTTTCTGCAGTATACAGATTTGAAACAATATCAGTTTGGCACCATATTGGCTGATGTCCGAACTTCAGGTATTGGTTTCAGTATCTGAAAAGAAAAAGTTGAAACAGCGCTTCCCTACTTGTTACTAAGCAATGGACCAAGGAACGCAAGTTAACGTTAACAATGATCACTGAGCCAACAAAACGTACCAGACTCTCTCAACTTTCTGGGAAAACAGTTAAACAGCAGCTCTGTACAGCTGAAAATACAGACTGCTAATGCTGCTCATCATACAGCAGAACACTGACTGGCAACTGCAGATTACTACAGTTTTACTGCTATTTATTAAACTAAGCAGATCACCCAGATATTGCACAACATTAATGAGGGAGTAGGGGCCAGTCACAGTCCGAGTGTGTGGGTGGTATAATGTCCTCTTTATTTGTGTGCTTGTCACTCACTGCCTCAAAAGCTGTCTTCCCTGCTTCCAGCTCAGCTGGCTGTTGGGTGGTTCTGGAAGAGCCTCATTCTCATTCCCGTCATCTGGAGGGTAGAAGAGGGGCAAAGTTTATCAGCATCACTCACAAAAGCACACAAGCTAAAGGTACAGTTTGAAATATTTGAGTCCAGTGTGAACAGACAGTTCGTGTTGGGTTTGGACCTCATTTCCCAAATATTTGTCAGGCTCTCGTTCAAATTAAACATTCAGGTTTCTGACATTGTCAGAACAAAAGAGGCATGGTATTTAATGCAGCTTTAGTTTTTTCCCCCCTTCTTTAACCTTCGTTCCTTCCTACTTTTATTGCCCTAAGCTATTTTTATTTCACAAGCTAGAGTTATTGGCAGCGAGGTCCAGCAAGGGCCACCAGGGTCCACACGGCTAGCATAAAAACAACACAACATTATGTTTATCCAGACTAACTTTTGGGGTGTCACTGGAATGCACTAATTGATAACTAATACTTTTAATTTAAACTTAATTTTGTACACCTGATGATTACACAACATTTTATTTTAGTAGTTAAAAGTAGTTTATAGCAAGAGAAAGGACTGGAACAGAAATGAATTGAAACAGAATGGAATATAAATCAATTTGAATAGAACAGAATAAGACAGAATAGACCTTCTTCTCGCTCCTAAAGATGCTCTGAGTGATTTATGGACAGAACTAAACAGACAACATATTAAATAGTGACATAACAGACATACACATAAATAAAAATGCAAATAATCTTTATTAAAATGCTTGAATGTTTATAAATGATCGTCCAACAGAAACCTGAACCTGCGTCAGAGAAATTCTATAGTCAGAGGATTCTATTTATAGCCTACAGGAATTATTTATGCTAATAAAGTAACTGCTTTTCAACCCAAAACAGTAATGTTTTATATAGAAATGAATGAATTTGCTTAAAAAAAAAACGTGTTATGAACACTAATTTCTGCTAGTGACCCTGGTATTTTCACCATGCGTGGTACTGTACGGCATTTTGATGTCACTTCAAGTTTAAATACACACATTTCAGCTTTTAACAGTCATGCAAGTAACATGTTCCTTACTTTGTAAGTTGCTTTATTACAGGTACTCTTTCTTTAAAGGCTTAATCTTGAAGGCTGTCTTTTATTAGTGGAGTGTTAGCCTGTTAGCCAGTTAGCTTTCTGCTGACCTGCTCAGCCTACTACAGAGGACTGAATATATCAAGCTACAGAGAACAAACAAAGCATAAACCAGTTAAAAAGAGAGTCTGTTATCGGTGACCTGCTATGTTCGACTGGTAATTAATCATCTGGTTGGATTTTATAGGCACACATTTCGATAACAACAGGCTTTTTAAAAGTCACTGTGAAGCCACATTGTCTTCTAAAGCTCTGCGCTTTCTTGAGAGGTTTGTAAGATTCATGTTCTTGCTATGCTTTCGTCTTCACTCAGCTGTAGTGACAGACACAAACAGCACGCTTTCACAGAATGTCAGACATTTAATGGGCAATAAAATGATAACCAGATAACTTAACGAGTAAGAATATTTTTTTCTTTTGTTTCACTAAATACAGATGTGTCTTCCTTCTCAATCACATATTTCAGCAATATTCTCAGAATACAGTGGTCACATGAAAAATAAAGATAAAATAAAGATAATTAGTATTTTGTTTTTGACTATCTGGTTATTTTTGCTACAAGGATATTTAACAGGAACTTTTATTATGAACGTGGAGTTTTATTCAGTCTTCCCTTGGTGGTGGTCAGACTGGTACAGAATTTTGTCAGAATAACTCAGAATTCTGAGAGGCTATAGTCGGGTTCAGAGAGAATTCTGTTGGGTTACATTTGGTTAACTGGATGTTGAACTTCATGAAGTGCATCAGGTCAGTTTGGGCTGAACTTGGGCAGAATGTTGTTGAGCTACATTCAGGTTCTGATCAAAATTTCAAGCAGGATAAGAGCTCTAGCATATCGTAACAATGGCAACATTTAAATTTTCTACAGCAGAAGCCAGACCCTCTTTTAAGCAAGCATTCCTTTTAACCCCACACAGAAATGCGGTTATGAAACTGAAGGGAAAAAAAGCATTTTTACTGTGACCACGATTTGCTGGCGCTGCTCTCTACATCCATAACATTTAGTATCAGGTATTGACCCTGAAGGCTTGTGTGGTGTGGGGAAGGCCTACCTGAGTCATAGCTTGGTGCTTTCATATCTCCCTGCTGGAGTTCAGTCCCATACTTCAGCTTGTGGTATTTTGCCCTGAAGGAAAGAAAAAAACCTGCTTTAGTGGTTCTGTTGCCATGGTTACAGCTGAACGCCTACTTTGTGTTCTGGAGTCGCGTTGAATCTACGGCTGATTGAATCTATAAATTGCTCACAAAGTGAGACGTCCGTGGTACCTCAGAACAGCAAGGAATTAAGAGAGTAACTCAGTTGAAAAGAAAGCCATATTCATCAGATAAGTAATCCCACCCCATGACAGTTAATGGCACGAAACAATGCTTGAACAGCTCTGAATGCAGCAAAGGGTCTTATACGTTATTAAAATGCGTCATTAAATCGTGACAGCTGATCGTCAATGGGATGACTAACACTGAGCATCGTCTCCAGCGCAGTTCCGCAGAATGCAATCACGACACAACGACACAATGACTTGTAAAATGTAATCCCCCCTAATCACCCGCTTTAAACAACAATAAAAAGATACAGAAGTGCTCTAGTAACATCACTGGCTTTCATCTCCATCCAGCAGACTGAGCTATATATACACACACATCTCCATATTGTCCTGTTACAGGATGACCTTGACTTGCATTCACTACAAGCTGCTGCTGAAAGCAGATGTGAGCACCTGGAGGCAGGACTGCAGCATCAGCACTGGCAGCAGCTCCACACCACAAACTCAGGCCTACGTCAACACAGTCCAGCGCAAAGGCCATACAGAGTTAAACTGTACAGCAAACACGTAAGCATGATTCTTCAATTTTACTGTCTTCTGGGAAGATTTTTAACTAGGTTTTTTGTCTTTAGAAAAATATTTATTGTATTTCAAGGTTTATTGTGCCTATAAATGTATGTTTCACTCTTTCACTGTATTTTAGTTTCCCACCCACACATTTTCAATTCTTCTACATAGAAACTACTGCATAATAAAGCAGTAAACTTCTGCCTTGTATTTTTCATCAAACTCTTAAAGGCCTCATATCTTACATTTTTCTGGTATTTTATTTTTACTGGAGGGCCACTTATAACAGTCATGTAGTTTTATATACACCAAAAACAGTCATGATTCATTTCACTGAGCTATATTTACACATTGGTGTTGCAACAAACAACAACACTCAGCACATCATGCAGAACTGGTGACGATGCAGCACGGCAGCATGCAGATGTATGTGAATAAGTGTGCATGAACTTCAAATGTGAGCATTCAGTGTCTGTGTCCCTGCCCCCCACCCGAAAAAATAAAGAAAGGAAAAAAAATTGTAAAAATCAACATTTGGTTTATTCCACCACCGTAGTCGTTGGCTAAAGTTGGGAAACTTTCCGTCCGCTTTGCTGCCGCCCATCTGCTGCCAACATATAGACGGAGTTCTACAATTAAATTAAACAGGCTGTTTTTTGTTACTGTGCCTTTAAGACTGATATATGTAAATATGCTCTGCTCTGATTGCACCACATTTGAAAATCTGTCTGGAATAAAACACTATTATTTAAAAAACAGCAAGGAAAAGTTGTTTTCTTCTATGGAGCCCTGCTGGTGACATCCCATATAAATTAAAATAACGCGTGGCCACGTCTTAGTAAGGTGTGGGGATGAAATTATTAAACCATGACCACGACTAAATATGGCGTGGGAATGAGATAATTAAGTCTTAACTACAGCTTAATAAGGCATGATCTCATTCCCACACCTTACTAAGTCGTGGCCATGCACTAGCATCCTGTTGCCATGCGTTAATACGGCGTGGCTGGGCTCTATTTTTATTTATATGAGATGTCAAGAGCAGGGCTCCGTAGTTTTCCATGATATGAGCCATTTTAAAAATGTATGTCAAATTTATACGGTTTATATAACGTATTGTGCAAAAGTCCTAGCACCTCAGCAGATTATTTAAATACATATATTCTTCGCAATAAGTGCACTAACACTTATCATCATTAGAAATCATTCAAATAAATACAAATGCAGTAAAAAGTAAAAAGAATTTGTTTTTTAACAAAACAGTGCTAGGAACACAGGTTTGGCTCCAGATTTTTCATCAGTGCCCCCAGCCAACTGAAACTGCATCAGTATCTTTATAAGGGTCCCAATAAAGACTTCAGGGGGCATTGTAACCATGGGTTTGTGGGCTACCATGGTAGAAGAGACACTTCTGTGGTCAAAAATTTAAGTGTATACCTCATGAAAATATGCTATAAGTGTTATTTTAGTTTGGAAATAGTCAGCTTAATTTGATTTACATACCTTTTAACATACTTTGCATGGTAGCTATCCAGTTGCTTTAGCAAGTCCAAGACTTGTCAAAGTCCAGCTTTTTGGTTGTGATAATAAAGACAACTTGTTACCTGATCAAAGTAGTTAAGAGAGTGTAATTGAATTCTGAATTTTCCCACTAAGACATGTGAACACTGCCTAACATGAAGTTGCCCCCAGTTAGAGAATCCCAAAAAACACAGTACAAATATACTGTACTGTACTACAGCACTACACCATTCCATGAGGGCTTAAACTGAACAGATGAAAATCTAGTGGTAGCAAAGGGGCTTTAGAAGCATATAAACATTTTAGAGGAAGGAGAAAGTAAGCAATTTAGAGAGGCACAAGTGCAGGCCTGAGGCCACAGAGCTATAGAGACTACTTCTAAATAGACTATTTCCATTTCCACTGCAGGCTCTGTTGCAGTAAATGGGTTTCTGTGGTCAAGGCTTTTCCCTGTTTGAATGACCGGTTATAATTTTGGCCTGACCTGACAAAGGATGACTCGTCCTCTGCTGAAATGGAATGAGAACGAGACAGAGAGAGAAAGAGCGAGGGAAGCAGAGAGAGAGTAAGAGCAAGAGAGAAAAGCGAGCTGGAGTGTTACACCTACACGGCTGAGAAAGAAAAAAAAAAACCCCCAAAAAACACAACAATCTTAAACATACCACACTTTTGGCAATAAACATACTTTAACCTATTGAAAGTGGACAGGGACAACCACCACTCCCCATCTACAACCTACTGCTTTGCTACATATACAATTATCTAAAAGCTAACTGCAGTACACTTCAGTCATTTTTTACAGTCCACACGATTTAAAGGGCCCATATCCTACATTTTCCTTTACCAAAACTGGTCATAGCCAACCTCTGTTCATCCCTCAGAATTAAACAGGCTGGTTTTTGTTACTGTGCCTTTAAGATTTATACAGGTAAATGACCTATGTTCTGATCAGCTTCCCTGTAAGGTGCCTCATTAAAAATGCAGTCTGAATCGGCGGAGTTAATCTTCTGTAGGCTGAATATATGTAGGCGGATATATGCAAACGTGTTCGTTTTTGTTGACATCACAGAACATCAAACTATTTTGCAAAACTATGGAAAATTTGTTTCTCCTTGATACTGGCCCTTCAAATCATTGTGTGTGTCTAAGACAAGATGTGTGGTCATGGGTGCTGCTGGGATCAGACCTTTCCTGCTTCAGAGCGTACTCCAGCATCTTGATCCTCCTCACCAGATCCTTCTTCAGGTTCTCCTGGCCTTTCCTCTCACCCTGCAGGAAGGCAATCTGAGCCTGGAAAACACAAACAGACATGCACACAAACACAGTTATCATGTGCATCAGACCTGGGGGTATTAAACAAATAAGTATTTTTGAGTAAGTTGGATAATTTTACATCAAAAGAGAGTCCAACTGGAATGCCCCCTAACTCTCTTCTTAAGACGTTCTCGTTCAGCTTAGTTATCTGGCTAACTGAAAAATTAAAGTGAATGTTTGAAAAGAATCAATTATTCAAAATTTCTACAAAATGCAACCAATGAGATGTACACAAATTCATTCTGTATGGCGAAAAGTCTCGTTGTAGAGAACTCAGATTTTCTTTATGGTCATGATAGAATCTAGGGGTGTATTGATATGCAGGTTAATTATTTTTTGATATGGTGGTCACCATTTCAATTCAACATTGCCCATGACATTCCTAAAAAAGTGATTATTACAAACCACAAAAAACAAGGTTAATCAGCCAAGCTGACTGAAATAGTGAGGTTTTCAGACAAGTACAATAAGGATAGGCAAAAAAAAAAAACTTTAAGAGTGGCAAGAAACTTTTAAGCTTAATAGGAAGCCAACTTTAGCGTCAGCAGCTACTTCTCACCACAGGATTTAAGTGGCAGCTAAGTGTCCATTCTGAACCGGCGAAACAAACAACACAATGTTGGGTTGTACAGTCCATCTATATTGAGTCGCAGAGCCCACCTATGTTGGGTCATGGAGTCAACCTATGTTGGGTTGTAGAGTCCACCCCATTCGGTCGTAGATTCCACAGTTTGCTGAGTGACTGAGCCATGCTAAAAAATCCCCTCTCACACTCATTTCAGCCCAAAGGTCAGAGCCAGACTTTATATACACGACATCAGATAAACGTGTTTATCTTTTACTGAGATGTCATCTTATAGTTCACATTTTTTGGTTATTTTTATATTGATATTGCACATTTGTTTTTATTCTTGACTTCTGCCAGTCATCCCTTAACAAGTGATTGTCTTTTGGAAACAACAGTGGAATTAAAAAAAGTCTTGGAAATTCCAAAAAAAAAAAAATATAAATAAAAATAAATGCTGAAGTTATGTTGGCATTTCTTTTCTAATTCTGTATTGTATCGAAATGCAAAAAAAGGACAATGCGTATTATATCATGAAATTTGCTTAATTTTGCACAGATCTGGGAATTCTCATCTGTACTTATCTGCCAAAGCTGATGCATCACCCTTACTAAAAACTGGAAATAGAAATTGGAACTAAACCCTGATTGCCATTACGAAGAAATTTAGCATTTATTTGTAGAGAGTTATAGATAAGATAGATACAGGGAGTAAAATTAAAAAATGCTGACATTTTAGTGCAATAGCTCAGGGTTACTTAAATGTTTTGCTTTTTAGAATCCAATAAATACATCATCATATATTGGTCAAATCTGAACATGTCCAATGTCGATAATTTCTTTGAAGCAGTTATCATCCGATACCGATTCGATTCCAATGTCATCGCGCATCCCTACTTTATTTGCTGTCCAAAGTGACAAGTGAACCTACATGTGCCATCTGAGATTTTATACGCAATGGTGAAGTGATGATACAGGCTAAGGCCACAAACTTCTCAAAATTACTGTAAAACAATGTTTCAGGCATCAGACAACGTATTCATAACATTTCAAGTATTAAACTTCTGTGAACAAGCTTTTACGGACATTAAACTCTTTGGACGTCCAGGTCCTAACACCACCACTGTGAACAATTCTGACACTGTAAGTTTCTCTACAATAGAGCATTTCACACCAAACCACTCTGAATGACTTTGTTAGCATCTTGATGATAGAACTGTGCAGAAATTTTGAAAACATGGTGGAATTCCCCTTTAATGATCTGCTATTCGCAAGGTAGAACATTCTCAGCGCTGGTCTAGTTCCACTGTACAGCAGCAGCAGAACTAGTTCCTGTAGAGATGCATGTGAACAGGACCCCAGGTGAAGACGATGAAGCTCCACCTTTGCAAACACGGAGGGTTTTACAAGACAAATACTGCTGAAGGTTAAAGCAGCCAGCCTAAGGTACATTCTACAGTGTTTCTGAATACTCCGTTCTCAGATGGTTAACTGATGGAGCCAAATACCAATTTTAATGTTTTCCATCCAGCTGCTCATTGTTGTATTGTGTCTTAGTGTTGGCTTCTGCGCCGCGTCCACAACGTCTTGGACAAACGGCCCATCTGTGGCTTAATGCCTGCCTCAGTGACAGCCTGAATTATAGCCTCAGGTCCAACAGTGATGGCACTGAGCGAGATTAATCAGATTTAGCACACCCATACATCCACACACAAACATGCAAACACTCTCTCACACACACATTTCAAAGTAAAAAGGAGGACAAGGTAGCCCTGTCCTGAAACGAGAACACAAAGAATCCTCATTAATGAACGTAATTTATGTCAAACCAGCCAGTCAGAGACCACCTATCCAGTTATCCAAAACAATTAGTGCAGGTGTGCTCACGTTTAATATGTACAAATTAGGCCTACAATGTAATTTCTCTGCTATTTCCTTGCTACTGTAGAGTGTGAAAATGACAGAGATCATAAGAGAGATCAAAATGATACCACTGCAGTCTGCTATACATGTATATGTACATGTATATGTAAGGCAGTAGTGAGCCTGCACATGCATATGGACACACAAACATATGTGGGCCAATGACATGATGTGCACTTTTTGTGCCAAAGTCCAATATTTTCCCATAAAATAATTTAATAATTACATGACATATTACACTATTCTACAATATCACCTTTATGTGAACACTATGGAAGCCTGTTGCCGCCACTATAAATCCAGCACCCAAATGTTATTTCGTGAAGTCATTACTTTGAGATAGTAAGCCATTATTTTTGAAATACTTAGTCACTATATATATATATATATATATATATATATATATATATATATTATATATATTTATTAAATTTTTTTAAACAAGCGTTGCGAGACAGCACGAATAGTGATAGGGTGCCAACACCGCTCACTGTGAGGATTAAATACTTGTGCTAATGCTACCTCAAATAAGCTAACTCATCTGTCAAGACATCACACTTTATATATAAACACAAGATTAGACTGTAAATAAACAGAATGCTCAGTTTATATAATATTGAGATGTAGCCTTGTTGTTTGCACTTTTTTGTTTTTGTTGATTTTTTACAATTTTTAGATATTGCACTTTTGCTTATATTCTTTATTTATGTCTTCTAACAAAATTACTAAAACAAGCTGCCTTTTAGAGACAACAATGAAAATTACAAAAGTCTTAAAAATGACAAAAAAACTTACTGTATCTTGAAATGTGCCTCTCATTAAGCTCCTAGTGTCCAAGTTGATTAATAATCTATATATCCATGCACATACATATACACTCAACAGCCAGTGTACACCTGCACAGTCATGCAATTATCCACTCATCAATCACATGGCAGCACCACAACACATAAAATCTTGCTGACACGGGCCAAGAGCTTTGGTTAATGTTCACATCAAATATAAGGGTGGGAAACAAATGTAATCTAAATGATCTTACATGGGGTGGTTTGAGCATTTCAGAATCTGCTGATCATCTGGCATTTTCACTCTTGAAAAATAACAGAGTAGTGATCTGTAGTTCTGTGAGAGAGATCAGCGGAGAATGGCTAGACTTGTTCAAACTAACAGCAAGGCCACAGTAACTTGAATAACCAATCTATACAACAGCACTGATAAAAAAAAAGCATCTTTGATTAACTAAGCACTCCTGTTCACTAAGGACAAGAATCTGAGGCTACAGTGGGCACAGAAACTGGAAGACATGGGGGCCCAACCCACAAATACAACGGCCAGTGAGCACATATCCACTTAATTCTTCATTAGTAAATAAAATATCAAAAATAAATAAAAATAGGAATATCACATAATAAAGTGTGCAGCTCAACCTTACCACCCTATCAATGTCAATCTGAACATGCGTCCCTCTGCCTTCAGCCCAAATGGAGCTGCAAAGACCACATGTAATCAACAGTCACCCAGAGCATCAGTGACCCCAGCGTAACTGGGCATGACTCATATTCTAAACAGGACCCTAAAGCCCCCGAATGATATGAATCATCAGCTCGGCATAAAGAGCAGCAATCTATCAGCGCCTTGGCTCGAACGCTTCTGCAATTAGAAGAGCCATATTAGATTGAGCTGGGAACATTACAAGGTCTCTCATTCTCTGTTGTATCTCTGTTGATTTCTTTCCACATCTTGTTCTCTGGCGAGGTTCGGAGGTGCTTTTATTAACCACTGCAATACTCATTTTGCAGAAAGTATAAGCAGCTCATTAACCAATAATAATGTTTTTAACTGTGTGCTGTGAGCATCCCGACCAATCACAGTGCCACATTAGTGTTTCTGTAGGTGTACAATCCAGCAAAAGTCATATTTTGGTCAAAATAATGGAGGCCAATGTGTCACATTATTAAGTCAACAATATGTTTTTTATATGTTGGAAGACATTACAAACACAACTCTAGTTTTTTTTCAATAGCCCAACAGCACAAGCCTGTAGACTTATTTAATTTCAGCTACAACAAGAGAGTAACGCAAGGCATGAAAGCTGCTTTTTTGATATCAGATAATACAGAGTAATTACCAGAGCAGGTACTTAAGAGGATGAAATCAAGCTAAACTGTAAGCACCGAATAAAAGGAGGGGGAGAAAGTGGATAATGTATTTTTAATCACAGACAACTCCATTATAAGCCGGTTACACTGTAAAAGCTGATAAAGCTCCATTGAATGGAGGAATAAATTGGCTGGGGAGCTACAACAAGCACATGAACAATTCTGTCATTTATTCACGCTACACCACAGGGCGTTTCAGAGAGACTTCTTTCCGAGCCATTGAAGACTGGAAGAGGTGTTAAATGGTTGGAGACAAGGTGGTATAGCAACAATTTTGGGGACGCATCTATGTGGAATTTCTGGTCAACTGATCTTTACCACCTTGCTGTG